AGGAGATTGCCCTTTTTTATTTATTTATTTTTTCCTACCCAAAGCCCCAGTGCATGGTTGTATATTCTAGTTGTAAGTCCTTCTAGTTCTTCTGTGTGAGCCACTGCCACAGCATGGCTACTGACAGACGGGTGGTGTGGTTCTGTGATGGGGAAGAAAACCTGGGCCACAGAAGCCGTGAGCAGAACTCTAACCACAAGGCCATCAGGGCTGGCTTGATTGCCCTCTTTTAGACTAACAAAACAGGAAAAAACTTAACCAAACCCTGTAAAATTATTTGCAATTTTATTCTTGTAGTTTGTTTTTGTCAGTTAGGTGGAGTGCCTATAGAAGCACATACAAAAACAACTTTTTTTTGTATACAATAGTCTTCCATTTTTGTATATAATAGTCTTCCAAAATATACAGGTTTACATTAAGAGAGAAAGTAAGCATCCAGAAGGGACGAACAATACTTCACACGTGCTACATAGTTTTCTGCTTCATTTAGAGTTGTTCTGCTGAATTCTTCTTATTGCTGCAATCACTGTAACTTCAAAAATTTATAATCATCTCAAAAAAGATTATGTAGCAATGAGCAGTTAGACGAGCATGCATGAAGTCAGTCGTTTTGCATGACGTATGTAATAAAAAAGTTTGAAGTGTCTGCTTACCAATGAATGTTTTCATGGAAAAAAAAAAGGAAAGAAATTTCAGAGATTAAAAGTGATGGCCATCTCCACATGGCCTGGGACTAGGATGCTCTCCTCATCAATGGACACAGATCTTTTCGTCTCCTCAGCAGGCATATTTGAAGAATAGAGGAGAGAAGAGGTCACGTGCCAATGTAGTATAATGGTGGGTACATAGACTTTGGAGCCAGATTTCTGGAATCCAAACCCTGGCTCCACCACTTACTAGGGATGCAACCCTGGGTAAGTTATCTAATCTCTCTGTGCCTCAGTTTCCTCATCTGTGCGATGGATATAATATCAGTGCCTACCTCATAGGGTTGAGGATTGCAAGCACTTTTAGTTGTAGCATGCCTGACTCATAGTAAACGGCTCATAGTCAGTGTATATGTGTTTTTTATATAAGTAATAAAGTTAACAAAAGACGCGTATTTCTTGGAGGGAAAAGTGTGATTGCTAAGATAAAAAATAGTGGCACTGGAAAATAAAGTCAAAGAAAGCTCTCAGAACATAAAGTAAAAGAATTGCATCACAATACCCAAGGCTTACCATTTGGGGGGGAAAATGGCTATTTCTATAAGATATATGTCTGTATGTAAACTCACAGAAATATAGAAATATGTCTGGTAGGATACTTGCCTCTGTGGAGGGACTGGAATTGGGAGAAATGACCAAGGAGAATCTCAGCATTATTGTTAATATATGAATCTTTACTGTTTTGTGAGAACGTATCTGTGTGTTTTTTATGAAATAAAAAACAAGTAACATTTTTTTTTTTTGAAATCCACATTAAAAAACAAAGTGCCCAGGAAGCAATAGGAGGGAGTGGCTAACCCCGCCATCCGGGAGTCAAGGGAAGTCACAGAAGGGATGACATCAGAACTGGGTCTTCAAGGAGGAATGCTGAAGACGCGGCAGCTTGAGGATAAAAGGATGTATCTGAGGAACGACCAGAAATTGTATCCTCAGAGTTCGGGAGTGTGTGTTTGGGTAGAGAGAGGAATGGAGGAATGGGAACGCGATCAGGCTGCAAGGATGGGTTTAGAATCAATTGTAAAGGGCTAGTCTACCAACAAAGCAGGTTGCACTTTGTGGAGACAACTTTTTAAGCCACCTAAGGGACATGATCACAAAAGAAGTCTCCTTTGGCAGCCAGGGGAACATGGATTGGAGAGGTGGGGATGACTGCTTAGAGAGCTGTTAAGGAAGCTGCTGCATTGCCCAAGCAAGAATTGCCCCCTAAGTGACAAAATGGCGTCTCAGTAGGGAGAGAGAAAGGGCTTGATCTGAGCGGTAATTAGGAGGAGGAACCCACAGTCCTTGCCTTGCAGCATCTACCCCACTTTTTTGTAGTAACTATACCCTGCTTTGGGAATCCCACTTGTCTTCACCCTTAGCCCTTGTGCTTTCGGCTCTGGGCTCTGGGGGTAGGACACATGATCTAGGTCATTAACTCATTCTGTTCCCTTGGCCACCATTCCTGGAGGAGCATATGACCCCAGTCAGGGTAAGCAGGCCACCAAGACCCAGGCTGGGACTTCCGTAGGCAAACTCCCTCCTGCTGGACCAGGGGGTGTGAGGATGGAAGCCTGGAGTGGCCAGGTTTCCAGGGACCTGGGATGGAGTCCACCCAAGGGAGGTAGAGCCCATAGCCGAATCTTGGTAGCATCTTTTGAGCTCAGAATCAAGCCATACCTTAGCCAGCTGTGGTCATGGACTTGTCATTGAGCCAATGATTTGCTTATTTTATTTTATATTTATTTTACTTGGTTTACCTGAGTTGTGTTTTCTGTTCAAACTGACTTCGAATTGAGAGTATTCAGAGTGTCCCTAATGATTAGCAGTGGGGACAGGGAGCATCTCTGGAGTCCACTGCTCTTAGCCTCATGGCAAAGAGTGAGGACAAAAAGATGTCTGAGCTGCTGTCAGCTCCTCTTAGGGATGGGCAGATATTATGTTCCTTTTTTGCTAAATTAGCAGAATCTAAGGCTTTAGACACCCTGGAAGGGGTGGCCCAGACCAGTAGGACTCCCAGACTTGGGATTTCACAGATTTCAGCAGCAAAATTACAAAGGAAAATCACAGGGTCCAAATTAGAATTTCCAAGTTTTAATTTTGTTAGGTAAAAACTTAAAAACAAAATAAATAAACCACTACCTTCTACCATCACCATAACATCATAAAAGAAATAATAATTTCACATAGAGAGTGAGCAAGAGAGAAAGAGACAAAGGATAACTTTAGAATAAAGGACAGTCCTTTAAAATGGATACTTTTGGGGCTGGCCCCACGGCCTAGTGGTTAAGGTCAGGGCACTCTGCTTCAGCAGTCTGAGTTTGGATCCCTGGTGTGGACCTGCACCACTTGTCAGCAGCCATGCTATGGCAGCAACCCCTATATAAAATAGAGGAAGATTGGGACAGACGTTAGCTCAGGGTGAATCTTCCTCAGCAAAAAAAAAAAAAAAAAAAAGAATACTTTTGGTTTTGTGAAAGACACTATGTTGTACTCACTTTTCTCACTCTGTCTCAGATATGTAAAAACTTTTTCCTAGCGGCATCAGTCTGCTAACCGGCCTAGTAGAAAACCCCATGCCCCTTGGTAGAGTGTCCCCAGCCCTCAGAGCTCATCCACAATCCTGGGACAGGGAAAGTCTGGACAACACAGGGTCCTAGGCAGCCCCAGCAAGAAGAAGGAGGATCCTAAGCCTGGTAAGAGGAGTGAAGATCCCAGGGGGAAGGCCTCCCTCAGGACAGGAGGATCTGGCAAGGGAAGCCAGCCAGGGACAGTGGCGTTTGGACGGGCTTGAGGAAAATCTCCTAGTCCCACCACCGGCCGAGCCCCGCCAGCCCTCCCGCCAGCCTGCCACCTAAGGAGGGTCCCCAGGAGCCCTGAGCACAGACTGGTTGCAATGCCGGGTCTAGATGAAGGTGCTGGGAGAGACTCGGGACTATGAACAGGCAGGTTCCACCCTCCAGAGCAGTGGCAGCCTCCTTGGGGATTCAGCGTCAACAGAGACTGAGCCCAGGGCAGGAGTGTGGCCGGGGGCTGCCCTGGAGGGTTCCTGTGCTGGGAGGAACAGGAGCTCATTCAGCTCGGCTCAAGTAGGGGAGGGTGTTAGCCTCAGGGTGGTGGGATAGGATTCTCTCCCCAACACCCTCCTCCTGGGGCAGGCGCTCCCCCGCCCACCCCAGGGAGCCGGACTTTGACTTTGACAGGACACTCTGTTAGCGTAAACACGCACTGTGGTTGTACAGTCAACAGCAGGAAGAGCTCTCGAGTTTCAGTCCGAGGGACCTGAACATCCCCAACGCTCCCCCTCCACACACACGCAGACATCTCCCTTCAACAGAGACCGAACGGAATCAACTGACCGAGAACCAGGATCCTGGGGCAGGGCACGAGGATGACAAGATGGAGAGGAGTGGAAAAAGCAGGGAGGAAGGCTGGGCGAGCAGGGTTCCCGACCCCCAGTTGAGGTGGGCAGAATAGACTGACAGGAGACAGTGGGAAAAGGACTCTGCACGCTGCTTGGGACTCTCAGCGTGTACACAAAGTGTGTACACAAATTCACACAAGAGCACACGTTTTTCCAGCAGCGGGCTCTGCCTTTCCACGCTTCCGACATTCAGCACTGAGTTAAGGGGTTACAGAAGGATACACAGGGCGCATGAAGAGAGCCGAAGATTTCAAGAACCCGAATCCCAGCACAGCCAGCCCTCACAGAAGCCAACTCAAGAGCCAGGGGCAGGTTCGGAGGAGTCCAGGCCCCTCGCCAGTTGAAATCCTCAGGACTTCGGCCTTCTATCTCTCTGCCCTTGTCAACTTTTGGACGCTGCCAGCTCACATCTTTCCCTCACTTCCCACCCAAGTGCCTCAGCAACCCCAGATCTGACCAGCTTTGAACATCTGCCTCAGTGGGGCCCAAGCCATGATCTCTGGCCAGTCTCCGAATCATCTGACCTTGGGCTGGTGTCCATCAGCTGGGGTAGAGAATGGCATGGGAAGGACTATGGCCACCCTAGATGCAGGCATGAGTGCACTAGTTGCCTGTAGGTGTGGCAGGGCAGGCGGCCCCACGGACATGTCAGGTCTGGCTGGCACAAGGGCTGGTTCTGTCTCTAGAGTGGCTGTCAGGAGCCTGGAGCACCTTTGTGTCATCCCCAAGCATGGCAGCTTCCCGCCAGATACATACCTGATTACAGCTCTTGAACCTCACATCTCCAAGGTCAAGTCAGGCTGAGCGACCTGAGATCCCAGAATCCCACACTCCCGGGGTCCAGACCTGCCCCCCGCCATATCAGAGAAGCCTGAGAATTCATGCCAAGTCACATGCACTATGCTGTTTATTGTCACATGTTACCCATGGGACAGGGGTGGGATGGGGAGAGGAGCCTTCAGACAGAGAAGTGGAAGGAAGAGGGAAGTGGGAACCATCCATCTTCTGAACTCTGCCCTTCCTCTAGCTGGCGACAGAGGGGGCCCAGCCACCAGCAAGACTCTTAGATGCAAGCACAATGCTGCGTGAGAAGGTTGGGCACTATCTCGTACTTGAACGAGTACCCTCCATCTGAGGTGGTGCGGACACGGAGGGGCCTCATGGTCCCCGGGAGGGCAGCACAGCAGGGCTGGGCTCCTGGCACCAAAGAAAGGGGCTGGATAGGAGTAGGGGGAACCTCAGGGACCGGCAGAGGCAGGTCTGGTGGGGCAGACAGCCCACAGCCACCGTGACAATAGTGGAAGATGAAACTGCGAGGGTGCACGATCCACCGGTCCCAGCCCAGCTCCTGGAAGGAGATGTTGAGGGCCGCTCGGTGGCAGTTGGCGTGGGCAGCGGGTTCCTCTGGCGGCCTCTGGAGCAGGCGCAGCGCGGCGGGAGACCAAGGCCAGGGCAGTGGAGGAGTCGAGCGTCGGGTTCTCTCCCCTCCGCTGGGTGGCCTGGCCCGAGTGTGGGCCACCAGGAAGGGTGTGGCCTCAGGCCGGGCTGAGCAGGAACAGAGAGGACAACGCAGCAGCAGCACCAGGACAGGGTGGGTCAGCAGAGGGAGGGCCGAGGCTGCCAGGTGCAGCACGGCCCAGCGAGGGGGTGCCTGGCCCAAGGTCACGGGCACAGCCATGGGACCTCCAGATGACAGTGCCAGCAGGCCTAGCAGGGGCTCAGAGCTATTAGAGGCTGCTGTGCCCTGCCTGTCCAGTCCGGTGTGGAACCACAGGTGGGCCGAAGTCACCTGGCGGCTGCGCATGTGCTGAGATGGCCGGAACATGTATGTGAAGAGGCCCTGCTCAGCCTCCTGGGCCAGCTCTCCTGCAGCTGGCTCATCCTCACATCTGGAACCTGCAGGAGACAGAGGGAAGGGAGATGGCAGTCTGACTGAAGACCCGGGAGCCCTCCCCTTCAACAGGAGGGCTGCCACGCACGGGCCTGCTGACCACTCCATCGAGCGCTCTGCCAATTTGGGGCCTCCCTCCAGTCTTGAGAGAACTGACAGAGGCTCCCCATCTATCATCTCACCATTAAAGGGCTGAAAAAATACAAGACGTTGCCAACTTCTCCCTGAAGTGGCTTCACCGATTAATATTCCCATCAGCAATGTGTCAGAGGCTCCATGCTCTCCACCTCCACCAACACTTGGAATTGTTGGTTAGCCTGAAATTGTTCATCTGATAGTGTGAAATGGTACCTCGAATGGTGAGAACACAGGCATTGGTTGTATTACTCTTTACATCTTTTTACATGTCAGAAATAGTGCAGGAAAAATTCTTTAAAATAATCCCACTTTTAACGGATGGCAGCTAGGCTTTTGGTGGTGAACACCACGTCGTCCATACGGAAGCTGAAATATAACGATGTACAACTGAGATTTATATTGTCGTGTTAGGATGTTATAAGCCAACGTTACCTCAATAAAAAAGTTAATTAAAAAATAGTAATTCCACTTTAAAAAGATAGGTTAACACCAAAAAGAAGAAGGAGGAGGAATAAAAGAAAGACTGTAACTCGGGACAGAGGGCAGTGCTTTCTAAGAAAGTGGAGCCGGCATCCTGACCCTGATAGGTACGTGGGCCACACTAAACCATCACGGACCAGCACCAGTCAAAGGACGGGTGGTTAGAGCTATACTGTTACCTGGATTCTCTCATCATAAACCTCACAACAACCGATCCATTTTGCAGATAAGGAAACTGAGGGTTAGAAAGGTGAAGTGACATTTAACTACTAAGTGGCCAGACTGGGACTCTGCCTGATCCCAAAGCCACACTTTGATCAACTGTGCTGCACGGGGGCTGAGGCACGGGGAAGCAGGCCGGGGTCCTCCCTAAGGGAAAGGTGGGCCAGATTACAAGAAAGTCGACCCAGAGGAGGGCTTTACTGGTTCAGTCCATGGGGACAAGGAGATGAGAAGGGAATTCAACAGAAGATGGACAGGTTTCCCAGAAAAGTTCCCCAACTGCTCTTTCTCCTGCATCTCTGATATCTTCTCAAGTGTCAGCTACTTGGAGCTAAAGGAAGAAGGTTTGGAGCAGGAAGGAGAAGCAGAGAAAGAAGGAAAGGTGACAGGAAGGGGCCCAGGCCCAGATTCTCTGTCTCCAGAGACTTTTGGTTGCCCGGATGAATATCTCCCAAATCCCTCCCATGTGGCATGCATTCTGGATACCCCGTCTTACTTAATCCTGAGAGGTGGGTGTTATTGCCCAATTTACAGAAGAAGAGGCAGAGGGTCAGGGAGCTTTAGTAACCAGCCCATTGCTGCAAAGCCAGTTGAGTGAGATGTGCCTGGCTTCCAAGCCCATGCTGTACCGTGCTGCTTCTCAAAGCCGCCCTCCAAGTTCCCCACCCTTGCTTGTTACCTGAAGCTGGGAAAAGGATGGCCTGGGAGACATCCTCCTCCTCGGGCTCAGAGCCCCTGCGCGCGAAGCCTCCCAGGGCATGTCTTCGGGGCAAACGCCTGACTCCAGGATCCCCACCTTCCCCAGTCACTGCCGGGGGTCCCAAGGCATCCAGGAACAGGGCCCTCACCTTGGCCAGGACAATTTCCCGGTCCAGCTCTGACCCCTGGCAGCCATGTCCACCCTGTGGAACCAGCAGCAAGAGGAGCAGCAGTGGCAGTGGGGGCACCATCGCTCACCTGGCCCTGCCAACGGCAAACCCACTCCCTGCCCTCTGCCCTCCGTCAGGGTCCACCCAGGGCCTCCTCACTCTGCATCCCACTACACACCCTCTTCTACCCTTCTCACCCAGTATTCCCCAGCCCTTCCCACACCCTGCAGGCCGAGTTGCCCCTGCCCATGGCATTGAGACCTCCTATCTCTGACGCAGATGTCTGTGGCCCTGAGCCTTATCTCCCACTCCCGCCAGGAATGTAGGGGAGGGGGCAGGGGAGGGCTTCACCCCAAGTGACCTGACCCACACATACAACCTTTTCCCCTACACACACACACACTCCACACACGTGTGCGCGTGCACGCGCGCGCACACACACATACACACTGTGCGAGTCACATCCCGGCACCCAGCACAGAGGTGACATCAGGTGGGACAGGAGCCTGGGAGCTGGGGTCTGCCAGCTCCTAAAAGTGTTATTTGTCAGAAAAGCAGAATGTGCCAGCCACTCAGACCTTCTGGGGCCCCTTACAACCCAGCAGCTGCGGGGCCAGCTATGGGGGGATGGGCTGAGGCTGGGGCTAGAGCTGGGACTAGGGTGGGGGGGCAGGTGGTCCCGCCTGCTCTATACTTAGCCTGGAGGAGCCAGTCCGGGCTCTTGTCCTCCAGCTGTGTCATCAGAGAATATTTTTGGGATTGGCAGCTGCAGGCGCCTCTGCCACTCAGGCCCAAGCCTGGCGGGCGGCTGGGGACCTGGCGGCTGGAGGTGGGAGGGAGGAGGGGGAAGAGGCCCAGGCTGTGGGAGGGGGCTGGGAGGGAGGCTCTCCGGAGCAGGAAGCCAGGCCGCGGGCAGGGGCCCCTCGCCGTCAAGGCAAACAGGAAGGACTGCCCCCTAAGCTCCGCGCTCCGGGCCCGCGATCGCCGCCGCCGCCGAGCTGCAGCACCGGGCCCCGGGTAAGGAGGCGAGCCGGCAGCGCGCGGCCAGGGGAGGGCTCGGTAGGTCCCCGCACCCCGTCCCCGGACGCGCCCCGCCTCCCGGGCTCCGGCCGCCGCTGCGGGCCTCCGCAGGCCGCCTGCGCTGCCCCCGCGCCGCGGCGGGCCGTCTGCGGCCGGCGCGATGAAGGCGGGCTCGGGGGATCAGGGGAGCCCCCCGTGCTTCCTGCGCTTCCCGCGGCCCGTGCGGGTGGTAAGCGGCGCCGAGGCCGAGCTCAAGTGCGTGGTGCTGGGGGAGCCGCCGCCCAGCGTCGTGTGGGAGAAGGGCGGGCAGCCGCTGGTGGCCTCGGAGCGCCTGAGCTTCCCGGCGGACGGCGCCGAGCACGGCCTGCTGCTGAGCGGCGCGCTGCCCACCGACGCGGGGGTCTACGTGTGCCGCGCGCGCAACGCGGCCGGGGAGGCCTACGCGGCGGCCGCCGTCACCGTGCTGCAGCCTCCGGCCCCCGAGCCCGAGCCCCAGGCCGCCGAGCGCCCGCAGCCGGCGCCCGGGGCCGGGGAGGGCGCCCCGGTGTTCCTTACGGGGCCCCGGTCCCAGTGGGTACTGCGGGGGGAGGAGGTGGTGCTGACGTGCCAGGTGGGGGGCCTCCCCGCGCCCACGCTGTACTGGGAGAAGGATGGGATGGCCCTGGACGAAGTGTGGGACAGCGGCCACTTCGCTCTCGAGGCGCGCCGCGCCGAGGGCGGCCCGGGCGCCAGCCTGGCGCTGCGCATCCTGGCGGCGCGGCTGCCCGACTCGGGCGTGTACGTGTGCCACGCCCGCAACGCGCACGGCCACGCGCAGGCCGGCGCGCTGCTCCAGGTGCAACAGCCCCCCGAGAGCCCGCCCGAAGACCCCGATGAGGCGCCCCCGCCCGTGGTGGAGCCGCTCAAGTGCGCGCCCAAGACCTTCTGGGTGAACGAGGGCAAGCACGCCAAGTTCCGCTGCTACGTGATGGGCAAGCCCGAGCCCGAGATCGAATGGCACTGGGAGGGCCACCCGCTGCTCCCCGATCGCCGCCGCCTCATGTACCGCGATCGTGACGGCGGCTTCGTGCTCAAGGTGCTCTACTGCCAGGCCAAGGATCGCGGGCTCTACGTGTGCGCCGCGCGCAACTCGGCCGGCCAGACGCTCAGTGCCGTGCAGCTGCACGTAAAAGGTACTGCGGCGCCTCCAGCAGCCCAGGCTTGGAGAGCGGCCTCCAGCGCCCTCCGGGGTCCTCCTCACTCCAACCCCCCTCCGTGCCCCGCCGCCCTGAAGAGGGAGAGGGAGGGGAGGCGGATATTAAAATACCATTTCGTGCCCGCCTTCCACCCGCCAGGGATTCGGATTTAGTAGGTCTCCAGGGTACCCAGGAACTTCTTAGCCAACCCCCCAAGTGATTCTGAGGCAGATGGTGGAAAACCACCCTTTGGTAAAAAGCTTTAAGGAGTGATTGATGCACAAACGCAAAGGGGCCTAGATCTCTTCTCTTCCAGTGGTTTTAAACCTCTTTGTTAATTCGCTCCCCCTCCCCCAGTGGAAACCCCGCTGGGGCCCAGATATGTAAGACAGATAAAAGAAACATTTTACGAGTGTAACTTTCTAAGTCCAAATTTATAACACGTACCTACAAAACCAATCACTGAGAACAAGGGGTGTGTTTTATTGAATACACACGTTTTAAGTGGAGGCTGTGTGCATAACTGAGTCTAGCCTGTGAGCCCTGGGGGAACACCTGGCTGCAGGCCTCACACTGAGAAATTCCTGATTCACCCCAAAGGTAAACTCGATGGAGGAAAAATACCCTGGGACTTTTGACTACTCTTTCACTAAACCGCCCTCCAGGTTTGAAAGAAGAGAAAGGTGAAGGAGAGGAAATTGATGTTTCCAAGTTGTCACCAACAGTGTCTAATAAATGCTCACGTTGTTCCGACACAGAAAATTCAGGGGGAAGAAAACATCCCAAACTCACACTGGAAGTTAAAGCTTTCTGTAATGAGGCTGCGTCACAACTGGAAGGATTATACCTTCTGTGGTTACTGCCCAACTTTTTCCCTCAGAGGAAAAGAGTTGGCAAATCTCCTGAGCCCTGCCTGGCACGCAGTCAGGCGTGGGGCACCTGTGGCGCAGCGGTGGCCTCGCTGGTGCGGCTCCATGTGCACAAATGGGCCAGGCCGTGCTGAGCCTGACCCCATCAGGAGAGAGAAGCCCAGCGGGAGCGCGGAGCTTCCCAGAGCTGCAGGACGAATGAACGTGCTTCTCCGGCAGCCTGAGGGAACCCTCTGGTCGCTTCCACCACCGTGCTTTCTTTTTATAACAGGCAGCTTTGAAAATGGTTAAAGGATTTAAAGATGTAATTCAACTCAGAGCCTCGCAGAATCTGTGAGGTGCCTCCTGGGGGCCCCAGGGAACAGTTTGAAAATCACTAATGTGGTCCATCTCTTTCCCTACTTGACAATTAAGGAAACAGAGGCGCAGGATCATTGAAGTGGCTTTGCTGAGGTGATGTGGCCAGGGAGTGTGAGGGTCAGATGAGAACTTAGGCCACCTGGCTTCCCTTCTGGTGGCTTTTCTGTGATTCCACAGTGCCTGCTGGCTCTGGAGAGAAGCAGACGCCGTGAGCTAATGTGGGTTCAGGCAGTTGAGGATGCGAGGAGGAGTCCTTCGGGTCTGGCTCTCTAGAGCCTTCTCTGGTCTCGCCCCTCTCCTCAGAGCCCCGGCTCCGGTTCACGAGGCCCCTGCAGGACGTGGAGGGCCGGGAGCATGGGATTGCCGTGCTGGAGTGTAAAGTACCCAACTCCCGCATTCCCACCGCCTGGTTCCGCGAGGACCAGCGGCTGCTGCCCTGCCGCAAGTACGAGCAGATTGAGGAGGGCACCGTCCGGCGCCTCATCATCCACAGGCTCAAGGCGGATGACGACGGAGTCTACCTGTGCGAGATGCGGGGCCGGGTGCGCACCGTGGCCAACGTAACAGTCAAAGGTTGGCTGGCCGGTGGGAGGAGGTCAAGGTGGAGGCAGGCAGGTGCCCAGACCCTGAGCTGATGGATTCCCGTCTGCATCTCAGGGCCCATCCTGAAGCGGCTGCCCCGGAAGCTCGATGTCCTGGAGGGAGAGAACGCTGTGCTGCTGGTGGAGACGCGAGAGGCTGGGGTCGAGGGGCGCTGGAGCCGCGATGGGGAGGACCTGCCGACCACCTGCCAGAGCAGCTCTGGCCACATGCATGCCCTGGTCCTTCCAGGGGTCACCCGAGAAGATGCTGGCGAGGTCACCTTTAGCCTGGGCAACTCCCGTACCACCACTCTGCTCAGAGTCAAATGTGAGGGCGTGAAAGCCCCGGGGCAGACTCCTCAAGGACTGGACAAGAGGGCCAGGGCAGGGGGGTGACCAAATGCCACAGCCTGGGTTAGCAAAGTGGACTTAAGGTGGGAGGGCTGTGGGAGGCTGGAGCAGGGCTGGAATGTAAACCCTGCCTTTGTCTCAGGCGTCAAGCACAGTCCCCCGGGACCCCCTGTGCTGGCAGAGATGTTCAAGGGCCACAAGAACACGGTCTTGCTGACCTGGAAGCCCCCTGAGCCAGCTCCCGAGACCCCCTTCATCTACCGGCTGGAGCGGCAGGAGGTGGGCTCGGAAGACTGGATCCAGTGCTTCAGCATTGAGAAAGCCGGAGCCGTGGAGGTGCCGGGAGACTGCGTGCCCTCCGAGGGCGACTACCGCTTCCGCGTCTGCACGGTCAGCGAGCATGGCCGCAGTCCCCACGTTGTGTTCCACGGGTCTGCTCACCTCGGTGAGTCTGTCTTGCCATACCTGTCCTGTCGGCAGCCGTACCCCAACTCACGCCCTCCCCATCACCTCTCCTTCCTTTATCAGCCCCTCAGTCCCCGTCCTCATTTAAGCCTTTCGCCTGCCAACCTCTGCCTTCTGATGGCTATGTTCTGTCTCCATCTCAGTGCCCACAGCTCGCCTCGTGGCAGGCCTGGAGGATGTGCAGGTATATGATGGGGAAGATGCTGTCTTCTCCCTGGATCTCTCTACCATCATCCAGGGCACCTGGTTCCTTAACGGGGAGGAGCTCAAGAGTAGTGAGCCGGAGGGCCAGGTGGAGCCTGGGGCCCTGCGGTACCGAGTGGAACAGAAGGGCCTACAGCACAGACTCATCCTGCAAGCCGTCAAGCACCAGGACAGCGGGGCCCTGGTCGGCTTCAGCTGCCCAGGCGTGCAGGACTCAGCTGCCCTCACCATCCAAGGTTGGTGCTGGTGGGGACCAGGGTGGGCAGGTAGGGTCAAGACACAGATGTCCTGTTGGCACAATGAGGCAGATGCTGTTCCCTTTTCTCACATCTGCGCCAGGCGAGTAAGGAGCATCCATGGTGGGCTCAGAGAGAGGGCTCAGTGGTCCAGAAGGCCGATTTCAACCCATGTGCAACGTACAGGGGACCCTTGGTTGTCTTCAGTATCGTATCCAAATTCTCTGGAGCGTTCTGTGGTTTACAGAATTCTGTCACATTTATCATCTCAGAGACATGGGCCCTGGCCCTGAGTTCCTGACTGTTTCTTGCCCTGTTGTGTAACTGCTAACATGTCAGCAACTTCCCATGTGCCAGACACAATCCTAATCACTTTCCATATAGTAATTATCACAGTCCTCTCAGCAGCCCTATAAGATAGGTTCTTTTGTCATCCCATTTTCCACATGGGGAAACTGAAGCACAGAGAGGTTAAGTGACTTGCCCTAAGTCACAGAGCTAATGAGTGGTGGTGCTGGATTATGAACCCAGGCAGTCTGGGTCTGGAGTCACACTCTGCCACCTGTGGGAACAGGGAAGGAGAGGGAATGAGGTGTCCCTGAGGAGGACAGTCTTGGTGGGCATCTGAAAGTTCAGGACACATGCTGGCATTGGCCATGTCACCATTGTTGGGGTTTGTAGGGCCAGTCAAGGAAATTCCTCGGCGCCCAAGCATGGGGCCTTGGGGCAGTTAGCCGCCACCAACCCAGGAAGAGGGCAAAGTGAGAAATAACCAGCATCCAGAGCAGCATTTCCCAAATGCAGCCTGGGATCACTGACACGAGAGTCCTTTTCGGGGGCTGGTTTATAAGGCAGGCTCCTGGCCCTTGCATGCTTGTGGAAGGGTTGTTGAGGCATCTGCATTTTTAGCAGGCTCCCTAAGAGTTTGTAGGCACACTAAAACCACCGCTCCTAAGAGGTGGTATGGAAGCCTAAACCTACTTTTTGCAACTCCAACAAGTGCGTTGATGGCAGTTGTCTGGCCTGATGGCCCACCGCCTACTCTGGCACACGCTTATCCCGGAGCGGGGTGCTTATCCCCTAGCGGGGTGCTTATCCCCTAGCGGGGTGCTTATCCCAGAGCAGGGTGCTTATCCCAGAGCAGAGTTATCCCTGAGTGGGGTGCTTATCCTGGAGCGGGCTGTTTATCCCTGAGCGAGGTGCTTATTCCTGAGTGGGGTGCTTATCCCAGAGCAGGGTGTTTATCCCCAGGCGGGGTGCTTATCCCCGAGTGGGGTGCTTATCCCGGAGCAGGGTGCTTACTCCAGGCAGAGCACGCAAGGGCGCTGCGTGTGACTGTGCTTCTCTGCACGCAGAGAGCCCGGTGCACATCCTGAGCCCCCAGGACAAGGTGTCCTTGACCTTCACGACCTCGGAGCGAGTGGTGCTGACCTGTGAGCTCTCCCGGCTGGACTTCCCGGCGAGCTGGTACAAGGATGGGCAGAAGGTGGAGGAGAGTGAGTCGCTGGTGGTGAAGATGGACGGGCGCAGACACCGGCTGATCCTGCCTGAGGCCGAAGTCCAGGACAGTGGCGAGTTTGAGTGCAGAACAGAAGGGGTCTCGGCCTTCTTCAGCGTCACCGTCCGAGGTCAGGAGCTATGGCGGCCTGGGCTCCTCCAGCTGAGGCTGACTCGGGGGCCGTGCAGGCCCTGCCCCCGGTCTGCCTGCTTGGGGAGGGGGTCCCTTCCAGGGCGGACCTCGTGGGCTGGGGACATGTTTTCAGATCACTCGGCTCTCGCTTGCTTATCCTCCCAAGCACCAACACTCTCCAGCACACTTGCCCCCACATACCCTCTGCTGGGGGTGGGGGGAGAACTAAATTCCATTACGGGAAGGACAGAGGGGAGCTCACGTTGCTTGCACATTTACCAAGAACCAAGTACTAGATACTTCAGATATACACTATTTCATTTAATCTTCACAACTAGATGAGGGGTAATATATTGCCAGTTCACAGATGAAGAAACTGAGGCTCAGAGAGGTTATGTGACTTGCCCAGTATCGCACAGCAAGCACATACCCTAGCTGGGTTCACACCCAGGATTGTGCTCATCCTACTGCCCCAGGCGGCCAGGGTCAAAGGGAAGCTTTGAGTGCAGTGGTCCAGTGGTTCTCAGAGGCCAGTCCATGGTCTGGCTACCTCAGAACCACCCCGGAAGCTTGCTCTAAATGCATATGCCCAGGCCCCACAGACCGCCAGAGCCAGAATACCCAGGGCAGAGCCTGGGGATCTCCTCCGGGAAGGCAGCTTGGGAACCACAGATCCAGCTCATCTTCTCACTTTGGGTGGAAATCCTGTTTCAGCCCTGTTGCCAGGAGGTCCTCTAGCCCCTGCCTGAATGTACCCAGAGACAGGGAGCTCACTACCTGTAGGGAGCAGCTGAACCACTGTGGCCCCGCTAAGTCATTCCCACCTCCTGCCCAGCCTGGGACCATTGTGGCAGGGCCTTCCTTGTGACAGCAGCAGCCAGCATGGCCTGATGTGGCCTGTGATGGTGACCACCTCTCAGCCTAGACAGAGGCTCTCTGCCTCCCTCCCTTCATGTCCCCACCCAGCCACCTCTGACCCTCTGGGGACCCACAGAGCACTCAAGGTCCACCTGATCCCCTGTCATGCCCTCAGCTTCCCATGTCATTGCCCCAGAGCCCCCAGCACAGCACAGCCCTAACCCTCCCAGTGTCCTCCTAGGATGAGACTGTCTCCCAGCCAAGCAGCCGATGTGGACTCATGTCTCCTGTGTGTGGGGTGTCTGTGACCCCATCTCTTCTCCCCCCAGACCCCCCAGTGCACATCCTGGACCCCCAGGAGCACGTGTTCGTGCATGCCATAACCTCCGAGTGTGTCATGCTAACCTGTGAGGTGGACCGGGAGGACGCCCCTGTGTGCTGGTACAAGGACGGCCAGGAGGTGGAGGAAAGCGACTTCGTGGTGCTGGAGAACGAAGGGCCCCGTCACCGCCTGGTGCTGCCTGCCGCCCAGCCCCCAGATGGGGGCGAGTTCCAGTGCGTCGCTGGAGATGAGCGCGCCTACTTCACCGTCACCATCACAGGTGGGGGTCCAGGCGGGCCGCGGGACAGGGGAAGGTACCCCCGCTCCCGCCTGGGCAGCTGCCACACTCTCAGCCCTGGACCACAGTTAGTAGCCCCTGCTTCCCTCCCCTAGGCTGAGCAGATGCCCCCCTTTTTCCCTGACCCATGGCCTGCACCCCAAGGTTCAGTCACTCACAGAAAGTGCGCTGTCATAAACACACCGGTCACGACTACACGAGGCACAGGGAGCCCTGCTGTCCCTGTTCTCCTGAAGACCCTGCCAGGGGAACCCTCTAGGGATGGCAGTTCTCCCAGAGCAGATACTGGAGGGGTCAGATCTCAGAGGCCAGCGGAGACCCCAGCTGCATGTGGGCAGCCAACCCTCCTCTCCCCGCTCTCATACCGTCCCCGTCCCAACCCAGAGAATGTGGAAGTTTCCAGAGCAGAGGATGACACCTTGGCCCCACCGTGCCACCATGCTCCTGATGTGCTTTGGTGACTGGTTGTGTCTCCAGCTGTGCATGGAGACACCATCCGAGCGAGGTCCCTCTTCTTCAACCTGTGACCCACCTTCCAGGAGTAGGGAACAGGCGTGGATCAGGGAGGGCAGCAGGGCCCGTGGGCCCCAGCCACTGACGCCCAGCCACGGCTGTTCCTGTCCTCCAGACGTGTCCTCGTGGATTGTGTACCCCAGCGGCAAGGTGTATGTGGCAGCCGTGCGCCTGGAGCGCGTGGTGCTGACCTGCGAGCTGTGCCGGCCCTGGGCCGAGGTGCGCTGGACCAAGGATGGTGACGAGGTGGTGGAGAGTCCCTCGCTGCTCCTGCAGAAGGAGGACACCATCCGCCGCCTGGTGCTGCCCGCTGTCCAGCTGGAGGACTCCGGAGAGTACTTGTGTGAAATCGATGACGAGTCGGCCTCCTTCACCGTCACTGTCACAGGTGTGAGCCCACCCCAGCTCCCCAGGGTCACCAGAAGACAGTCCTGAGCCCTTGGGGGGCTGGCCATGTACCCCTAGCTAGCACGCTGGGGGGGAGGGAGGCGGGGCTGCGGGTGCATGCACAGAGTTCCCGGCCCGAAATCGCCCAGGGCCCCTATTCAGCCAGGCAGGCTGCTCCCCATCACCCAAAGTCACGAACAGCCCAGCTCCCCCAGCTCATGTACTGAGCACTGTCTCTGTGCCAGGCACCGGGCCAGAGGCTGCGGGTCGCTGGTACCCAATGCAGACACAGTCATCGTTCTCAGAGAGCCGCCAGTCTAGCTGGGGAGACAGTCGTTAACCAGGGGTCGCAAACGGGCAGTCCCTAGGGCCCCATGCAGCCCACAGATGTGTTTTGTTTGGCCTGCAGAGTCTTACCAAAGTCAGGACAGTTCAAATAACAATCCGGAGTTATGCGTCCTCTTGAAAAAGCCGAAGACCCGGCGCCTCTGGTCCCGCTTCCCCCCGTGGAGACGAACAGCTGGCGCTGAGTAGCAGCTGCCCCCGTAACACGGGGCCCACATTCCTCTGTCCCACGCTCTCCGCCATCCCTTTTTGCCTCTCCCCAGACTGCTTCAGCCACTTACCTCCCTGGCCCCTGTGGGCATTCGAGTTTGCGACCCCTGTGTTACATCAATAAATACACAAATAAATGTACAGTGACACCTCGTGACAAGTGCTGTGAGGGATGAGGAGGGCAGAGGGCTCAAGAGAGCAAGACAGGAGAGCCAGGGAGGGCCTCGGAGACAGGCATCATGTCACCCGCGGGCGCCAGCCCTGGGCCAGGCTCCGGGTTCTCGGCAGTAGGCAGGCAGACAGGCCCGCTTCCCTGCGGGAGCACACGGCCCAGCAGGAAAGGCCGACCCAGCGTAGGGTGAGAGTGTGTGTGGGTTGTCGAGTGTTGCCATAGGGTGCTGGGGGCTGCTAACCTGGGCAGCAGGCAGCAGGAGCCTTCAGAACAGATACTTGGGGCAGGGCTGAGTCAGCTCATTGGGGTCGGGGTTTGGGCTGAAGGTGGTGGACGGGGAATGTTCAACGTGGAAAAGCTCAGGACGACTGTGGCAGCCATGGTGGTTCCGTGCTGGAAACTTGGGGCTGCAGCCCACAGCGCAACCCCAGTGTGTATGTTGGGGAAGGAGTGGCTAGGGCCTTGGCAGCTCTTGGTGGCACAGATGAACCCCACTGGCTGCCCGGAAGTGACCATCCTCCTGCTGGCACCGTCTTGTCACCCTCTCCCCTGCCCTGCCCTAGAAATAATGCCTCAGCCTAGGCTGAGCCACTTAGGGCCCCACTCCCCACACCGCAGATAGTGAGTCTGGCACACACAAGCCGAAGAGGCCTTTCTGCACTACAGTGTGTCCCTCCAACCTCTCCCACCCAGGCCCTGGCCAGGCATAATGGCCACGACTGTGCACTCTTCAGCCCACACCAGCCTCCCCACCGAACACCAGATTCCTCACGGGGAAGTTCGCACCAACACCACCTCGGCTGTGGACCAGGGAGGATCAAGTGTAGTGCTGAGCTGAGGTCCCACAGCTGTGCAAGCACCCCAGCACCATCGCTGCCCCTTGACCTCACCCCACTGCTCCCACCCCTCAGGGAGCCGCACTCCGCAATCTACCCGCCTTCCTTGCTGGGCCCGAGAGAACCAGGCTGCTTCAAGCCCAGTTAGGGAGGCGCATTGCGGGGGCCGAGGGCCGAGGATGTGCTGGCCAGCACGTCTGCCCATGCGCGCACGCGCGCGCGCGCCCCTGCAAAACGCGGGCCCGGGAAGCTGCAGTTCCCCAGACAACCACAAGGGGGCCGAAGGCTAGAGCGCAAAAGTGTTGGAGACTTGCAGGTTCTGGCGGATCTCAGGGGCGCGTGGGAGGTGGGCAGGCCCAAGCTTGGCGTTGGTCATCTCCAATTTTGACATGGCCCCCTTTCTGTGAAAGAGTGACCACTTTAGAACAGTGGGAGATGAACTCCCAGAATCAGCGTGTAACATCCCTGGGGAATTCAGACAGGTGTTGGCAACTGTTACGCACAGATGCAAAAATTTTACTGCGTTCCGGCAAGCCTTGACTTGAACTCCCCACCGCTGCTTGCAGAGTCTGAGCCTCCCTTTAACAGACAAGAGTTTTTCCTCTTGCCTCACAGTAGGTGTAGCCAGCTGTGATCTTTAGGAAGTTGCTTAATCACTCTGTGCCTCAGTTTCCTTGTCTGGAAGACGGGATAAAAATATACCCACCGCCGAGGATTGCTGTGAGGGTTAACTGTGTAAAGTGCTTAGGACTGTTCCTGGAACCTTAGGAAGCCGGATATAAGGATTTGTATTACACAGTCATGATTCCTTAGCCATAATTCCGAAATCCAAAAAACTCTCAAAATCAAAAGTCTTTTTGTAAGTTTGGTACTCAAAGTCATTTCAGTAAAACCTGACCTTAACTGCTGGAAGCTATTTCTGCTCTTTAATTATCCTGCTTAGAGTGAATATACCTAAATGTTACACAGCAGAAATGTTAATGTGATTGATTGGGGGGGTGGCCCGTGGGGGCTACGGAGGGAGGTGATATGTGATAAATGCACCATTTCTGGAATCTGAAGCATTCTGGATCTCATCACACCTCTGGCCCCAGGGATCTCAGAGAACAGATTGTGGACCTATCATTCCGCATTATTATTACCCTTATTACCCTTATTATTGTGGTGACAGGTACTTCATGCTGCCAGATGGCCCCAGGGAGGCTGATGGTGAGTTTGTGACAGCCTGTGGTTGCCCCCACTCTGCAGAGCCCCCGGTGCGCATCATTTACCCCCGGGATGAGGTGACCTTGATCGCCGTGAGCTTGGAGTGTGTGGTGCTGATGTGTGAGCTGTCTCGGGAGGACGCCCCCGTGCGCTGGTACAAGGATGGGCTGGAGGTGGAGGAGAGCGAGGCCCTGGTGCTGGAGAGTGATGGGCCCCACCGCCGCCTGGTGCTGCCCGCCGCCCAGCCTGAGGACGGGGGCGAGTTCGTGTGTGATGCTGGAGATGACTCAGCCTTCTTCACTGTCACAGTCACAGGTGGGCAGTCTTGGGGCGCCCTGGGGAGCCAGTGAGGCAGGGGGCTGAGGGACAGACACCCAACCCTCCCACTTCTCACTGTTTAGGGGCTCCCCCAGTCTCCTCTCCTCTCCAGCTTCCTCACTCTCAGCCATCAGAGAGAGAGCCCTGGGCTTGCTCAAGTCAGAGCGGAACAGTAACCAGAGACCTGGGGGAGAGAGCTCAGCAATTAGAAGCATTCATTCATTCATTCAATCATTTATTCCACAAATCCTTATTGCATGACTGCTGTATGCTTGGCACCGATCTAGACGCTGAGGGCTACAGTAGCAAGTGAATAAGACAAAAACCTCTCTTCGTGGAGCTGGCGTTCTAGGGAGGGTGGCAGACAACAAAGAAGTACAGTAGGTGGTTTTTCAGGTGGTGAGAAGTGCATCGGAGGCAAAGCAGAGAAAGGAGATGGAAAGTGGGGGCGGGGCGGGGCGGGGCGGGGCGGGGCGGGTGCACATTGCGGTTGGATTGGTCTGGGTGTGAGTCTGGGTCTATCTCTTTCTGTCCACCTTGGCAAGTCACTTCTCTCTAGTGACCTCAGGTCCTCATCTGTAAAGTGAAGCCAATGGCTAGACACCTCCGAGAGAGTGTCTGCAATGTGCTTAGCATATTGCCCAGCACCAGTAAGTGCCCGTGGCTTGTAGCTGGTACCGTCCCAAGAGCTGTGCTGTGAAAGGAGAGGGCTGAGACTCGAGCCGGTGAGGCAGGTGGAGGCCTGCTGGCTGAGCTGGTTCCCCCCTCTGTCCACCCACCAGCCCCGCCGGAGAGGATCGTGCACCCGGCAGCCCGCTCCCTGGACCTGCAGTTCAGGGCTCCGGGGCGTGTGGAGCTGCGCTGCGAGGTGGCCCCTGCGGGGTCCCAGGTGCGCTGGTACAAGGATGGTCTGGAGGTGGAAGCGTCCGACGCCCTACATCTGGGTGCCGAGGGGCCTGCTCGAACCCTGACCCTGCCCCACGCACAGCCTGAGGATGCTGGGGAGTACGTGTGCGAGACCCGTGATGAGGCCGTCACATTCAATGTCAGCCTGGCTGGTGGGTGCTCCTAGCCAGTCCCGGCGGGGGAGGTGGAGGCATGCCTGAGCTGACACCCTCTCTCTGTCCAGAGCCCCCTGTCCAGTTCCTCGCCCCAGAGGCAGCCCCCAGCCCACTCTGTGTGGCCCCCGGGGAGCCAGTCGTGCTGAGCTGTGAGCTGTCCCGAGCTGTCGCCCTGGTCTTCTGGAGCCACAATGGGAGGCCCGTGCAGGAGGGCGAGGGCCTGGAGCTTCACACTGAGGGACCCCGCCGCATCCTCCGCATCCGGGCCGCAGACCCGGCCCACGCAGGCCTCTACACCTGCCAATCTGGGGCAGCCCCGGACGCCCCCAGCCTCAGCTTCACTGTCCAAGTGGCTGGTGAGTGTCACCTGGGCAGAAAGCCTGAGTTGCACCCCAAACCCACGGGCTCCCCCACCTCTCTAGCACACCTTGTCTACCCCTTGCCCCCCACAGTGCCTTTCCCCATCTCGCCTCCTCCTGCCCTCCTCGCAGCCCTTGAGCCCTCCCTCCCAGTGACCCCCAGCTCTGACCCCGCAGACCCCCCCGTGCGGGTGGTGGCCCCCGAGGCAGCCCAGACGAGGGTTCGCAGCACCCCAGGCGGGGACCTAGAGCTGGTGGTGCACCTCTCCGGGCCGGGGGGCCCTGTGCGCTGGTACAAGGACGGGGAGCGACTGGCAAGCCAGGGGCGGGTGCAGCTGGAGCAGGCCGGGCCGAGGCAGGTGCTGCGGGTGCGGGGGGCACGCAGCAGGGACGCTGGGGAATACCTGTGCGACACGCCCCAGGACAGCCGCATCTTCCTCGTCAGCGTGGAAGGTAACAGTGCACCCCTCACCCTTACGGCCCTGGCACCCCGAGGACCACACCCCCGCCCTCACCCCTCAGCCCCACCTCACTGCCTCTGGCTCCAGCCACTGCACACACACGCCGTTACCTGGATGGGTACCCAGGGCTCCCTCTTCCAGGGACCCTCAGGCTAGAAGCTGAGGCTCTGAACCCGTTGGGTTCCAGTCTAGATTCTGCTTTCTAGTAGCTGTGTGACACTGGCAAGTTACTTAATCTCTCTGAGCTCCAGCTCTGAAGTGGGGGGATAATGCTCATCTTACAGGGCTGCTGTGACAATTAATTGAGACGAATAGGGTCCGTAGTCAACGATCCATTACTATTAGGGAGTCAGAGAGGTGCCAGGCCAGGATCGAGGGGACTTGGCTAGAAGTGGCAGGGAGTTGGCATATTGTCCTTTGGCTGACACACCGTAGGTCCCCAGGAAAGGTGTGTTAAATAACTGGGGGATGAAGGCCTGCACCCCAGGAGGGGGTGAAAAGGAGGGAGGGGGAAAGGCCCAGCCCACCTCACTGACTGCCCCCACCCCCAGAACCACCGCTGGTGAAGCTGGTCTCAGAGCTGACACCACTGACCGTCCACGAAGGCGATGATGCCACCTTCCGGTGTGAAGTCTCTCCACCGGACGCCGATGTCACCTGGCTGCACAATGGGGCCGTTGTCACTCCAGGGCCCCAGCTAGAGGTGGCCCAGAATGGGTCAAGCCGCACACTGACCCTGCGAGGCTGCCAGCTTGAGGATGCGGGGACGGTGACTGCCCGAGCAGGGGCCACAGCCACAAGTGCCCGGCTCCACGTTCGAGGTTTGGTCCTGATGGGGATGAAATGATCTTGTTCCTTGTACCCACCCTTCCAGCCCCTGCCCTCGCAGCCTTGCCCTTCTGCCCAGGGACGGGCCAGCGAGATGGAGCAGGGGGTGGCCCCCAGCCCCCGCTGGGCTCCATGCTCCCTCCTGCTTCCCCCCAGAAACAGAGCTGCTGTTCCTGCGGCGGCTGCAGGATGTGCGCGCAGAGGAAGGCCAGGATGTGTGCCTGGAAGTGGAGACAGGCCGCGTGGGCGCAGCAGGGGCCGTGCGCTGGCTGCGGGGCGGGGAGCCCCTGCCCCTCGACTCTCGCCTATCCATGGCCCAGGATGGCCACATCTACCGCCTCTGCATCCGCGGCGTCGTGCTGGCCGACCAGGGCACCTACGGCTGCGAGAGCCACCACGATCGCACCCTGGCCAGGCTCAGCGTGAGGCGTGAGTGCCCCGTCCTCTCCTAACATGTCGCCTGCCCCATGGCACAGCCTTTCCCGGCTGGCCCAGGGCCCCTCGGACCCCCACCAAAGTGCTCCTCGCCGCTGAGGCAAGTCAGCCCTGGCTGACCTCCAGGAATATGACTAAAGCAGCCTGCCCAAAGCAGAACTTTGCTTTTTCTAGTGTTTTTTTTTTTTTTCCACCTTAGAAGCCCATGTGGATTTGCGTTCCATTTCACGTGTCCAAGTTAGCTTTGCTATAAACATCAATATTATACTCCAGAAAGACTTGCCCTGTTGGTCCTTCAGTCACATGCCCCAGGACACAGGGGCCCGTTTGAGAAGCAGGGGTGGCTGGCAAACAGCACCCCCCAGCCCGCAAGCTGGAGCCCTCTCTTGACTGTGTGACCTCATGCAAATTCCCTAACCTCTCTGACCCAGGTTTTGACCTTCTGAGGTCATAGCACCTCTCACCCAGACTCCTCCACCCCCTGTCCGCCCCTCACCTCCTTCCTGTGTCCCGCCTCCTAACCCCAGTAAGGCTCTCTCTCCCCGGAAGTATGGCCAGCTGTGCTTCCTTCTTCCTGAACCCTGCTTCTGAACTTTGTCACTAGGTCGGGTGTTAGGGATGGTGCAGGCAGGGTCAAGGGGTATGTGAGCCCCCCAAAGCCCCTGCCTAGAGATGGAGCCCTCATTCTCCCTCTCTCCCCATCTCCCCCCACCAGCAAGGCAGCTCAGGGTGCTGCAGCCTCTGGAGGATGTGACCATCATCGAGGGGGGCAGTGCTACCTTCCACCTGGAGCTGTCCCAGGAGGGTGTGACTGGGGAGTGGGCCCGGGGAGGAGTCCGGCTGCAGCCGGGGCCCAAGTGCCACATTCACACAGAGGGCCACACTCACCACCTGGTCCTCAGTGGCCTGGGCCTGGCCGACTCGGGCTGCATCTCCTTCACTGCGGATTCCCTGCGCTGTGCGGCCAGACTCACCGTGAGAGGTGCGGCCTGGGGGACCGCTGCCTGCCTGCTGACTGCCCTGGGGGTGACTCTACTGACTCCACTCCCTGTGTGGCCCCCACTGACCTCCCTGCCAGAGCAGGACTCCCCTGACCCTTTGACCTGTGGCCCCAGTGACTACCCTGCTTGAGTGTGGCTCCTCTGTGCCTGCAACCTGCTGGCCTGCCCCTGTGAGCATGTCCGTGCCAGTGTGGTGTGGTCCCTATTGTCTACCTGGGCACGCCTGCCTGCTGTGGCCGCCCTGCCTGTCTGTGCCTTTCTGACCACTCAAGTCCCAACCATCCACTGACCATGCCTAAGTGTGACTTCACTAGCACCTGTTTCCGTGTCCCCCATTTTGGCTTCCAGTCCTAGTGCGTTCCCCACTGACCATACCTGCTCAAGGGTCCCCCTATTGCTCCTCTGAACCCATTGTGTCTCCCACTGGCCAGTGTCTCCTGTGCATTCCAGCCAAGTGTGGCCCCCACCGACCATGCCTGCCTATGGGTTACTCCACTGGCATCTTTGCTCTGGGTCCCCACCATACCCCTCTAGCCCCAGCATGTCCCCCACTGACCACCTTAAAGTCTGATCCCCAGTTGGCCACTCCTGCCCCATTGACCCCTGTGAGCCGCTGTGTCCTCCACTGACCAGCATCCCCCGTGGACCACTTGTCCCAGCTCATCCCCCACTCACTAGTGGCCTCCATGGATCACCTTGTCTAAATGTATCACTGACCCTTCTGCCCAAATGTGTCCTCCTTGTCCCCGCAAGCTGGGTCCCTGTCCTGTCCTTACCCTTGCTCCCTCTGCACTGTCCTCCCTCTCCCAGAGGCCCCAGTGACCATTGTGCGGGGGCTACAGGATCTAGAGGTGACCGAGGGCAACACAGCTGCATTCGAGTGCGAGCTTTCCCAGGCCTTGGCTGATGTCACCTGGGAGAAGGTCAGAGCCCAGCCCCGGCCCAGCCCACCTTGGCATCATAATCACAATAATAATGCCTTAAACAAACAACTAACACTGAGCGGATGTGCCTGCCCCTGGTGCTAAGATTCACTTTACATTAATCCTTTAATCCTCACAACGTCCTTATGAGGCTGTCTTGTTATCTCCACCTTGTCTACAAGGAGATGGAGCTCAGCGGGGTGATGGATTGCCCAGGCCAGACAAAAGGGGTAGAGCCCATATTTGAATCCAGGTTTACCTAATTCCAGAAGCCACGCTCATGGCCGTTGTGACCGGTACAGGACTCTGGGCTTCCCGCGCCCATGGCGCCCCTTCTCAGCCCTAACGTCCCCAAAGGGTGGCACTTTCCCCATGAGGCTTCTGGCGCGGCCCCGAAGGCGCGGGATGGCCCGACCCAAGCCTGAGGGGCAGAGACAAGTAAAAACGCTCTTCGACACCACTTGGCATCAACAGAGGGCGCTGCCGCCTCCCAGGGTCGCGGCCGCCTGCGCCCAGCCGAGTTCACCCCGACCCTCTGCAACTCCCGCCCCCAGGACGGGCGCCCGCTCACGCCCAGCCCTCGGCTCAGGCTCCAGGCCCTCGGCGCGCGCCGCCTGCTCCAGCTGCGGCGCTGCGGCCCCTCGGACGCCGGGAGCTACAGCTGCGCGGTGGGGACGGCTCGCACCGGGCCCGTCCGCCTGGCCGTGCTCGGTGGGTACGGGGCGCTGCCGGGGCCGGACGCTGGGGTGGGCGCGCGGGCAGTGGGCCCGTCCTCCCTCGGGACTGACTCCCGGGGCTTCCAGGGAGAGGGGCGGGCAGTGGGCGTGGTCGGGCACCGCCCCCCCTCTGCCCCGCCCCGCTGACGTCCGCGGCTCCGCCCCAGAGCGCACGGCGTCGGTGCTCTCCGAGCTCCGGTCGGTGCGCGCCCGCGAAGGCGACGGCGCCACATTCGAGTGCACCGTGTCGGAGGTCGAGATCTCAGGGAGCTGGGAGCTTGAAGGCCGCCCGCTGAGACCCGGAGACCGCGTCCGCATCCGACAGGAAGGTCTGGCCGACTTTCTCCCGACTCTAGCCCCTTGCTGACCCGCCCCCAGCTCAGGCAGACCCCGCCCTACGAGGATAAGCCGCGCCTCCAGCTCGAACGGTCCCGCCCCACGGCCCAAGGAGCCGTCTCCCTGTCTTTCCCTGGCCCCCAGCCACGAGCCCTCGGTCCTGGACCGCTCCTCTTCCCTCTCGGCATCCCGTTTCCGCCCAACCGAGCACACATTTAACGCGTCCGAAGAGACCTGGGGATCTCCTCCGGCCCCACCCTCATCCCTGAACCTTCCCCAGAGGGGGCTTCGGCCTCGCTAGCTCCTCCCTCACCCCCAGGGAAGAAACATTTTCTCGTGCTGAGCGGGCTGCGGGCGGAGGACGCCGGTGAGGTTCGCTTCCAGGCGGGACCCGCCCAGTCCGTGGCTCAGCTGGAGGTGGAGGGTAAGCAACGGGGGCAGGGGCGGCCAGTAGTGGGCATCATCTCCCCCGGGACTGGCAGGCTGGCGAGAGGTCCTAGGAGCGCTGCCTCCCCACCTGCCTTCCTCGAGGGGCTCTCCTGGGGCGGGTCATAGAGGGCAGTGCGTTTCCTAGGGAGGAGATGGGTAGGAGGAGACTTTGGGTTGGGTGTGCTACGGAACGGGCTGGTGGCATTGAGATCTGAGACCAGGACTGGAGGCCGCAGGGGGAGGGAAGATGCGTCTCTCCTCCTGGGGGCCCTGCGTGTCCCTGTTCACTTAAGCTTTCGTTCTCCACCCCCAGCACTGCCTCTCCAGATGTGCCGCCGCCCCCCTCGCGAGAAGACGGTTCTGGTCGGCCGCCGGGCTGTGCTGGAGGTGACTGTGTCCCGCTCCGGGGGCCACGTGTGCTGGTTACGGGAGGGGGTCGAGCTATGCCCAGGAGATAAGTACGAGCTGCGCAGCCATGGCCCCACCCACAGCTTGGTCATCCATGACGTGCGACCTGAGGACCAGGGCACCTACTGCTGCCAGGCCGGCCAGGACAGCGCCCACACACAGCTACTGGTAGAGGGTGAGTGAAGCTGTCCTGGTAGAGGTCAGAGGGTCAAGAGAGGCTGGCCAGGCAGGAGGGCTCGCCTAGGAGCTAGTGGGCTGAGACACACCTACTGCAAGTTTCCCAGGATTGGGATGGCAAGTTGGTTCTGGGATGTGTTGGGGGCGGGGGCGTGGGGAGGCGGTAGATCGAGTCCAGGGCTGAGGACAGGAGGGAGCCCTGTGTTCCAACAGGAACCACTCGGTTCAGGGCAGCTGTTCCCACTTTTCTACTCTCCTTCCTGACCGGGCTTCCCCTCACCCCCTCCTGCCTCTGGACCATGTTTGTCTCTTCTGAATGCCCCATTTGTACCCCAATTCCTCTCCTTCCCACCCATGGGCCCCTGGTCTGTGCCCCACTTCCCCGTCCCTCACCCGCCTCGTGCTCTCTGCCCAGCTGGCTTCTGCCCATGTCAGCAAGTTCAACATCAGCCTGGGCAGAGGGCTCCTGTGCTGGCCCCATTTCTTTCCTCTCCCACATAGGAGATGCCCCACCCTGCACCTGAATTTCTGCATTCCCTTCAGATGCCTTGCCCCCCCAAACGGACCCCCACTCTCCTGCCCCCACAGACAGCCCTGACAGAGGCCTCGAGAGGGTGGGGCAGAGGTGAGGGCCCAGCTCTTCCTGTGTGGGTGCCTAGGCTCTGCCAGGGGAGAGGAGGTGGTACCCACTCTCTCCCCAGCCCCAAGCAGAGTCATTCCTCTGCAGGTAGCTAGGAGGACCGAACCAGGCCAGGCGGGTGCCTCGGACAGCTTGGAAGGCGCATGCCCTAACTCCGGGCAGAGGTGGGGAGGCAGGGGAACAGAGGTGTTGGGAGACAATAAAAGTGGTACAGTCCTTTCCCTGGCTCTCTGTGTGACACAGGAGGGAAGAACTTGTCTGGAGCCCCTGCGTAGTGAGTGACACAGGGGACAAGGGGTGCAGTGCTTCCAGCTTGGACCCTGGAGGTGCCAGCCACCAAAGACCACCACTCCTGGCAGAACCCACACAGTTTGGCACATTTATAAAAGATGTAAAACAGGGTGGGGTGGGGTGGGGTGGGGGGAGACACAAGCATGAGGTGTCCAGGTGGCAGGACAGACACCAGACATGCACCGTGCATTTAAGCCCCCTCCCCCCCAGCACCCTTCCCCAGCCCAGCCCAGCGCAGCACCCCCCTACACCCATCCCCTGCCACTGCCCTCAGGCTGGTGGCTTTGCAGAGGACAGGGGACCAGGGTGGGGGTGCTGCAATTTGCCTGGTGGACAAAGACAAGCAGCCTTAGATGAGTCTGGTTGAGAGGCGGGGCGATGGGGGAGGAAGGCAGGCTCCTCCTCTTAGACATGCAGAAGGGTGGCCACGGGGCCCCAGCAGTGGGAGAGGAGGGGGCCCACCTTGGAGAAGCCCTACCCATCAGAAATCTAAGGCAAAGGTCCCAGTGTCCTGTCCAAGCCCACCCCTCCACACACACACACACACACACACACAAACACAGGTGACACACTCATAACCCTGAGCACACCCCAATGGGGCTCACACCCCGAGTCCCTCAGGAGCCCCTCGGGAGTGTGGGAGGGGGCTTTCCCCTCGGGCCAGGCCCAGCCTGAGACAGGTCCTCCTCTCTAGTGCTAGGCCAGCCCTCTCCAGCTGGGCAGAGGGACAGCCAAAGGCTCAGGGTCAGGCGGGCTGGGCAGTGGCCCAGCAGGCCTCCCCAAGCCGGCAGAGCTGGTGACCACAGAGTCTAGGTGGGCAGGAGCAGCCATCCTGCTACACCCGCACAGGGGGCCCCGAGCAGGCCGTCAGTGGCCCCTGGGACCCATACTCATAGTCCGCATCTGTGGGCGAGGCCATGAAGGAGCTCAGGGAGCTCCCCGTCTGCCGGTCCCGGAAGCTCTGGATGTAGCTCTGTGGGAGAGTAAGGCCAGTGTGAGAAAGCCACCACAGACCCCTGCCCCGAGAGCCACCTCATCCTGTCCCTGCAGCCCCAGAACCTCACCACCCGCATGGTGCACAGCCCTGGGACCCTGCCCCACCCATACCTCATTAAAACTCATCCTCAGGACACCTTTCCCCTGACCCCAGAGCTGGACCCATTGGGGTCCTGGAGCAGGGGTCCCCAGGGGTAGAGACATGCTAGGGCTTTGCGACAGTGACGCTACTGTTCAGGGCCCTATCCTGCTGGGACAGAGTCCACAACACTCCCTTCTCCCCTCTTCGGGCTGGAGGGGCTTGGGGTGCTGACCGGGGAGAGGACATCTCCATTGAAGCGTTTGATGGGCACTGGCCTGCGCCGATAAGCAGGGTCAGGGGGCCCGGGCCTTGGAGGAGCTCGGGGGCCTCTGGGGGGGGCCCGTGGGGGTCTCTTCTTCCGCCGCTTCTCCTTGCGCTCTTCCTGCTGGCGAATCCGCATCAGCTGCACTCGTCGTCGCTGCCGGCTGATGACCACTGAGAGGGGATGGGCAGAGAAGGGTGCCTCATCTTCCCCAGCCCCCGGCCCTCCCCCTCTGGCGCTCCAGGCTTTCAGCTTCCCCTAGTCCGTAACCCACACCCTCTTCCTTCCCGGTCTCCCACCTCCCAGATGGGAATGCAGTTGTTCTTTTCTCCCCAAGGCCTTTACGAAAGATTCCTGGACTTCCAGGTCCCCCCTCCACTGCTGTTACCCCTTTTCCAATCCTGAGCCATAGGTGAATCACGGAGACCAACCATCGTCACCTCTCACCTAGACAACCACAGCTGCCCCCTCACTGGGCTCCCTTCTACGCTTGCCTTCCCGAGTGCTTTCTACATTCAGCAGCCAGGGTGAGCATCCCAAAGGCTGAGTTAGGTTATATCCTCCCCTGCTTTTGTCTCCAATGGCATCTCATTGCCCTGCTAATAAAACCCAGTCCTCATGGCCCCCAGGCCACACAGTTGGCATCCCTCACCCACCACACTCCAGCCACGTCCTCAATGAGCCAAGCTCACTCCTTCTTGGGCCCTCACCCCTGCTGCTCCTCTTCTCTAGCACCTTGCATGGCTGGCCCCTGTCCTTCAGGTCTCTGCTTCAATGTCACCTCTTCCAAGTGGCCTTCCTTGGCCACCGTGTCTCTATTCCATATTACCCTGCATATCTCTTTCATATCATTCTGCACAACCGGAATTATCTGGCTTGTCTGCATGTCTGTTGTCTGTCTCCCCTGACCTGAATGTAACCCATGAGGGCAAGGACCTTTCTGTTTTGTCTCTGCTGAGGTGCCTGGACTGGGCTTGGCACAGAGCTGCTGCTCCGTAATTGTTGTGGAAGGAATGGTGGCACTGAGGCCCTATCTTCCCAGACCCTGAGCAGGTCAGCTCTCTCACTGTGGAGGCCTTCCGGTGCTGGTGTGCACAGCTTCTTCCCCCCTCCCCAGTCACTTAGTCCCCCACCCGTCCCTGGCCACCCATTTCTCTCATGCCCACCCTGGCCTGTGCCCTCTCACCTTCTGTGTGGGAGTCTCTCTCGGCTGTCACCCGCCACTGCACCAGGACGCCCATCAGGCTGAGCAGGGGCCACAGCGCCAGCAGGGCCCAGCTCCGCCAGCAGAGAGGGGGCACTGGGGCGGCCCGCAGTCGCTCCACCGCGTAGCGCCCCAGCAGTAGTAGCTCTGCAAAGTAGTCAGCGGCGGTGGCGATGAGCGCAGCACCAGTCACGGCGGTGGCCAGGGTGGTAAGCGGGCGGGGCCAGCGCAGCGTGAGCAGGGCACAGAGCAGGCCGCCCCCCAGCAGCAGCCCCAGGGGGCCCCACACGGAGCCTGGCTGGTAATAGGGTGCGGAGCCCAGCAGGGCGGCAGCGGCGAGCAGCAGCCCGAGCAGCAGCCCCACCAGGAAGAGGCCTACGCTGCGCACCAGCATGGCCACCAGCCCGCAGAGCAGTCCGATGCCAAGCGCGATGCCCGCACTCGCCCCGGCACTCAGCTGCGTCTCCAGCACCCGCTCTCGGTAGCACAGCAGGAAGATGACCACGGAGCCAAACAGCAACCCCGTGAGGAAGAGCACTGCCTTGAAGCAGCGGTAACCTGGAGGGGAACAGGGGCTAGTGAGGGGCCACCAGGCTGGAGGCAGGAGGTCAGAGGGGTCAGGGACCTGGAATCACAGGGCAGCCAGAGGCGGGACACTAAGATCAGAGAACTGGGGGCCACGGGGGTCCTGAGGGCCTCAGTGATGGGACCACTGGGGTCAAGGGAGGTCCAAGAGATAGGACATTGGGAGTCACTGGGAAGAGGAGTCATTGAGAGAAGCACGGGGACTTTGAGGGTCAGAGGAGTCAGAGATAGATCATTGGAGTCAAGAGTGAACCAGTGATAGGGTCACTGGGGTCTTTGGGATCATAGGGGTCAGAGCTAGGTCACTGGGGTCACAAGGGGATCAGCAATAGAGTCACTGGAGTCTTTGGGGAGCGATTGTTCAGAGCTGTGAGGCATTTGGAAGTTGGAACTTGAGAAATGAGGGCCACACAGGTTCAGAAAGATGAAGGCTCTGAGGGGTCCCAGAGATATGACATCATTAGAAGGTTGCAAGGAGAACAGAGAAGCAGAGTTATTGGGGTGGGGTCCCAGGAGATGAGGTCTTTGCATGTCAGAGGGATTGACAGATGTGGAATCATTGAGAGTGTTAAAGGGTTTCTGAGGGAGAGAGGGTAATACTGAGGCCAGAGCAATGGGATCATTGAGATCACAGTGGGGGGAGGAAGCAATCAGACAGTGAAGTCATAGGGACCAGAGAGTTAAGAGCAATAGAAGGAGTCAGTCGGACAGAAGGTAATAGATAACTGTGGGGTGATTGGGGGTCACTGGGCTTACAAGGGGTCATAGGGAGTCAAAGAGGATTATAGGGAGAAATAGTGGTTGTGGAGTTTCAGAAAAATGGAGGTTATGGGCTATTAGGCCCATTAAGGGTATCTGGAAGGGTGAGAGACTTGTAGATCCTGAACAGTGGGGAAGATGGAAATCAGAGATGGGGGTCAAGGGGTCAAGGAGAGCCAAAAAGAAAGGTCAGAAAGAGGAGATTCAGTTCTAGGAATGAGGGGAAGAATCAGGGTCCAGGAGGTTTTGGGGTCAGAAAGGGGCATAGGACATGGGCAAGGGCTCTGAGTTCAAGAGCCTGGGAGAGGGGCGCCCAAGAGGGGTAGGATGGCAGAGAATCCCCGGCGGGGGGAGGGTCAGGCTGCACTGAGAAACTGCAGAGGGAGTGGGTATGGAGAGTGGAGGGGGTGAGGCCACACCCAAAATGTGTCCTGAACCCTTGGAGGGGCACTTCCTCCTGCCCACTCTGCAGTTGTTCAGCCAGAGTGTGGAGGTGGAAGGGGAGGGGCCATCTGGCTCCCATCTCTCCTACTACCCAGCCATTCTAGGGGGAGGTGAAGAGGCTGCAGAGAACACGTCTCACCCCACCTCTGCCCGGCCTAGAACCCAAACCTCCAAGCTTCCTTTGCACTTCTTCCAGTTGCATATAATCCACTTTCCTTGGGTCCCCAGCCCATAGTTTGTTCCCCTCTCTGAAGTTCTGTAACTCTTGCTGTAGAATCACTGGGCACTCACTCCTTTAGCTCATCTGGCAGCTTTGTGCAAATGAGAAAAAGGTCTGCCTTCTTCTAGGCAAAGCAGCCTTTTGCCAAGGCCTGGAGTTTGGAAAGTGGATTTCAGCCCCCACTTGCCCATTCAACTGAACTCCTTTGTGCAGTACCCATCCTGTACAATTGTTCACAGCAGCCCTTATTACTGGAGTCTGCCTTGTAGGCAATCTCCATGTGTATGACTTCCATCTAGCCCACTCTAATATGTATCACAGGTATGACTGTTCCAGAAGTCTCTCCCCCATCAGACAATATGTCCTGTGGGAGGAGATCATGTTTAATCACTCTGCTAAATGTTTTCAGTGCCTATCTCACACAGGGACCCAAATACATCTTCACCACAATAGCTATTATTTGTTGAATGCCTCCTAATTCTTACAACAACCCTACGTGAGAGAAATATCATTGTTCCCATTGTTTAGATGAGAAAACTGAGGCTCAGGCAGGTTAATGTGCCCAAGGCATCACAATCAGTAAGGTGCAGAGCCAGGTTCAAATTCCAACCTAACTCAAAAACCTCTGTTCTCTAGGATCTAGAGTCTAGATGATCTATGAACATGAGTGTGATGAAAGAAAGAAGGAAAAGAAAAATAGTTATCCATGGGGGTGGTGGTAGCGGTGAAGTTCTGGAGAAGATTCGGGGTGTCTCGCAAAAGTAACTTGGGGAAACAGAGGGGAGCTCAGGTGAGGGATAAGATGGGGGTCTCACCGAAGAAGCAGTAGACGACTCCAAACAGACAGCACATGATGCAGACGAGGGCCGGCAGTGCCTGGTACCTGCGCTCCAGGGGCTGTTCACAGGGTGCACCCCAGAAGGCATCATCTGGTTCGGGGGGCAGCAGCTGGAACCGCAGCGTCGCCGCAGTGCCCGGCATAGTGCTGGGGACGAGAGGGAGTCACTCCCCCAGGTCAGCCTGACAGACAGCAAGTTGGGGTCAAGGAGGAGTCCTAGGTCTCCACCAGGATGGGGGCGAGAATGGGAGTGGGGGAACTAGGCAAGGACACGGTGGACAAAGGAGTGGTGCCCACATCCGGCAGCTCTGGGAGCATCCCTGAAGTGGGGCCACAAGACAAAGGGAGACAAAAGTGCCTGGCTAGAGGGGGCCAGGAGGAAGGAGTTAAAAGGGGGCCTGGGTTGGGGGAGATGAGGGCAGTGTGCTGCCGGTGAGAAGAAGGCAGCCAGGGGATCCCTCTGTGGGCGGCTTAAATCTGGTATTGTCCAAGATCTACCTGGGCTGGAGGCGACCCGAGCTTCTGAGCCAAAGAGGCTGTGCAGGGGCCGGAGGGGCCGGGGTGGCGGGTCGCCGGAGGCCCCAGCTGACTGGGGTCCGGGGAAAGTCCGCCGTTCGAGGAAGGGGGCTCCTGGGCCGGAGGGAGCGGTCTCCGCGCGGCAGCGTCGCCGCTCCGCGTCCAACACCGGCTGGCGCTCCAGTCCCGCGGCGTCCGGGGACCCGGGCTGGCCCCGGGGAAGGGAAAGGAGCGGGCGCAGGGGCTCGGGCTGCCCCGGAGCCGCGGCCCCATGCCCTGAGCCCGCCCGCGGCCTTTGGTGCTGATGGACAGCTCCGGCCTCTGCTCCTGACGTCACTCAGGGCGCACCATCAGGCAGGGGCGGGCTGCTTCTGACGTCACCCGGGACGCACCAACCACGCCGGGGGGAGGCAGGGGACTCCGCCCCGGCGTCTCGCTCTCGCGCACCGAGGAGGGGGCACTTCCGGGGGTCCTTCCCCTTTCCCCTCCCCCTTCTCCTCCCTCTCCGGTAGCAGGAGCCCGAAACCCCACCCCGGGGGCGGGGCCCTCGCAGTGACACGTCGGACAGCGGCGGCCGCGGCGGAGGCTCGCGCGCCGGGCGCGGGGACCCTGCGCGGTACCGGGCGGCGGCTGGAGGGGGGTCGGAGCGCGGCGCAGGGGAGTCGGCTCGGGCCGCGGGCTCTGCTCGGCGGGGAGGGAGCGGGCCGCCCTCTGGGCCCGGGCCCTCCGGATCCGCCCCCTCCCCGGTCCCGCCCCCTCGGAGCCTTCTCGGGCTGCTCGGGGGCCGCTCCGGGGCCGGGGCCCGCGGTCCGGGCGCCATGCGGGCATCGCTGCTGCTGTCCGTGCTGCGGCCCGCAGGGCCCGTGGCTGTGGGCATCTCCCTGGGCTTCACCCTGAGCCTGCTCAGCGTCACCTGGGTGGAGGAGCCGTGCGGCCCAGGGCCGCCTCAACCCGGAGATTCTGAGCTGCCGCCGCGCGGCAACACCAACGCGGCGCGCCGGCCCAACTCGGTGCAGCCCGGAGCGGAGCGCGAGAGGCCCGGGGCCGGCGCAGGCGCCGGGGAGAACTGGGAGCCGCGTGTCTTGCCCTACCACCCCGCACAGCCGGGCCAGGCCGCCAAAAAGGCCGTCAGGTAGGGATCAGCCCCGCCAGCCCCACCCCCTGGGCACCGGCCGGGACGGCGCGCCGGGGAGGCCGCCAGGGGCCGGGTCAGGCTCCGGAAGGAAGGGGCTGACTGGCCAGGAAGTCTTTGGGTCCCGATAACTTCCGATGGCCCTGCTTCCCTGGGAGCTGTGGAGTCCATCTGAGGCCCTCCTCTGGCCCAGTCCGGGCTTGGGCTGAACTTACCCGACTCTGTGAGAAACCAGCTTGACCCCATGGTCCCCCAAAGATCCTCTTAGCTCCCTGGCTGGGCTGTTGTGTTTAGAGAAATGACTGGTATATAGAGTGGGTGCATAGAGAGAGGGAAAGAGAACTAGGATTTACCTGTGTCTCTTGTTCCTGGGTGGGACACCTCGCGGCGAGATTTAGGGGGAGGGGTGATGTACTCATCCTGTTAGTGCCTCTGCCAAAGAGTTGAAATCATTTCTCCTAAATAATGCTGAGTTCAAATTGCAGTTCTGCAACTTACCTTCTGCCTTATGGAAGGGAACTTACTGGAACCCCTGAGCCCCAGTTTGCCCCTCCCCCAAACACACCAATACATCTCTATGCCATATATTCTTTTACTCGTGTGATGTATGGGTGGTATAATGGCATATTTATGTAGACATAAGTGTATACATGGTGTGTAGAGTACCCATGTGCCAAGCATTTGGCTAAGTGCTTCAAATAGATACGATCAACCCCACTTTGCAGAAGAGGGTACTGAGGCTCAGGTAGATTCAATAACTTGCTCAGGGACACCACTGCTAAGTCATGAACAGGGAATCTGACCCACAGTATATCTCGCATATCTGCATGGATATTGCCATCTCCCAGAAGCACTCTGTAGGTAAAGCTTAGATCCTCGTGACCCCTAGGAAAGAGTTGTTCTTGTCCTATTCCGAGGTGAGGAAACAGGCCCAGAGAGGACATGGCCTGCCCGAGCCTGTGTCTGCTGCCTTCTGCCTGCCCTGTTGTCTTTTTGATAACTTTGTGCCATCTTCTCCCCAGGACTCGCTACATCAGCACGGAGCTGGGCATCAGGCAGAGGCTGCTAGTGGCGGTGCTGACCTCACAGGCCACGTTGCCCACGCTGGGTGTGGCCGTGAACCGCACTCTGGGGCACCGGCTAGAGCGTGTGGTGTTCCTGACAGGCTCGCGGGGCCGCCGGGCACCACCGGGCATGGCCGTGGTGACGCTGGGCGAGGAGCGGCCCATTGGGCACCTGCACCTGGCGCTGCGCCACCTGCTGGAGCAGCACGGCGACGACTTTGATTGGTTCTTTCTAGTGTCTGATGCCACCTACACGGAGGCGCACGGACTGGCGCGTCTAGCTGGCCACCTCAGCCTGGCAGCCGCTGCCCACCTCTATCTGGGCCGACCCCAGGACTTCATTGGCGGAGACCCCGCCCCAGGCCGCTACTGCCATGGCGGCTTTGGGGTGCTGCTGTCGCGCACACTGCTGCAGCAGCTGCGCCCCCACCTGGAAGGCTGCCGCAACGACATCGTCAGTGCGCGCCCAGATGAGTGGCTGGGACGCTGCATCCTTGATGCCACTGGGGTGGGCTGCACTGGCGATCATGAGGTGGGAAGATAAGCCGCCCCACTGGTACCTCCTCTCTGAGTTTGTGCATTTCCCCCTGAGAGGCAAAGCGGTGGTTGGAGAAATAGGCCTGGGTTTTCCTCCCACTTCTGTCATTTTCTATCCCTATGACCTTGGGTAAATTACTGAATCTCCTGACCTTTAGTATCCTTATCCATACCAATGGAAATCAGTATTGCTCAGAGTTATTACAAGGATTAGAAAAAATAAGAGCGCCTTGCACATAGTAGGTCTTCAGTGTTTGGCTATTATTATTTTATTTGAGCCTCTGGACAGCTCTGAGATAGGATGCATGCCCATTTCACAGATGAGCTAGCAGAGGCTTACCCAAGGTCACACAAGCTCACAACTGGTTGAGGTGGACTTAAACCCACAGATTTCTGACTCCAAGCCCACAACAGGTCATAGGATGGGGAGATGAGACACACTATGAGGTGAGCGAGGCTGTCCCACCTTTTTTCCCATTACGGACCCCTTCCCTTCCTCTCCCCAGGGGGTACACTATAGCTATCTGGAGCTGAGCCCAGGGGAGCCTTTGCAGGAGGGGGACCCTCGTTTCCGCAGCGCCCTGACAGCCCACCCTGTGCGTGACCCTGTGCACATGTACCAGCTGCACAAGGCCTTTGCTCGGGCTGAGCTGGAACGCACATACCAGGAGATCCAGGAGTTGCAGGTACTGTCTGGGCTGGGGGTGGAGGGGGTGCTGAGAGGTCTCAGAGATCCCAAGGAAATAAAACTTAGCCCTAGGATCACAGGACAAACCTGCTTCCCAGTCCCTGTTTGTTTCTACCTTTCCAGAGAAGCCCCTCCAGAACCCTCCCTCCTTTAACTCTTAGGCTGCCTCAACCTGGAGAAGGACAGGTGGGGGCCCTGGGGACCCATCCTGAGTAGCACCTGCTGCCAGCTCAGTCCCCCAGCTGTGTGCGGGACCCCGGGGTCTCTGCCTCACTCATGGTCTGTTTCTCCAACGCAGTGGGAGATCCAGAACACCAGTCGTCTGGCCGCTGATGGGGAGCGGGCGGCCGCCTGGCCCGTGGGCATTCCAGCGCCGTCGCGTCCTGCCTCCCGCTTTGAAGTGCTGCGCTGGGACTATTTCACAGAGCAGCATGCTTTCTCCTGTGCTGACGGTTCGCCCCGCTGCCCGCTGCGTGGGGCTGACCGAGCTGACGTGGCCGACGTTCTAGGGGCAGCCCTGGAGGAGCTCAACCGCCGCTACCGCCCAGCCTTGCAACTCCAGAAGCAGCAGCTGGTTAACGGCTACCGCCGCTTCGACCCTGCCCGGGGAATGGAGTACACGCTGGACTTACAGCTGGAAGCACTGACCCCCCAGGGCGGCCGGCGGCCCCTCACCCGCCGGGTGCAGCTGCTGCGACCGCTGAGCCGCGTGGAGATCTTGCCTGTGCCCTATGTCACTGAGGCCTCACGTCTCACTGTGCTACTGCCTCTGGCTGCGGCCGAGCGTGACCTGGCTTCGGGCTTCCTGGAGGCCTTTGCCACCGCGGCACTGGAACCTGGGGATGCTGCAGCCGCTCTGACCCTGCTGCTACTGTATGAGCCACGACAGGCCCAGAGGGCGGCCCATGCAGATGTCTTCGCGCCCGTCAAGGCCCATGTGGCAGAGCTGGAGCGGCGATTCCCTGGGGCCCGGGTGCCCTGGCTTAGCGTGCAGACAGCCGCGCCCTCACCACTACGCCTCATGGATCTGCTCTCCAAGAAGCACCCGCTGGACACGCTGTTCCTGCTGGCCGGGCCAGACACGGTGCTCACGCCTGACTTCCTGAACCGCTGCCGCATGCACGCCATCTCTGGCTGGCAGGCCTTCTTTCCCATGCACTTCCAGGCCTTCCACCCGGCTGTGGCCCCGCCACAGGGCCCCGGGCCCCCGGAGCTGGGCCGAGACACGGGCCACTTTGATCGCCAGGCAGCCAGCGAGGCCTGTTTTTACAACTCCGACTACGTGGCGGCCCGCGGGCGGCTGGCAGCAGCCTCGGAGCAGGAGGAGGAGCTGCTGGAGAGCATGGACGTGTATGAGCTGTTCCTGCGCTTCTCCAGCCTGCACGTGCTGCGGGCAGTGGAGCCGGCGCTGCTGCAGCGCTACCGGGCCCAGCCGTGCAGCGCGCAGCTCAGCGAGGACCTGTTCCACCGCTGCCGCCAGAGCATGCTCGAGGGCCTCGGCTCCCGCACCCAGCTGGCCATGCTGCTCTTTGAGCAGGAGCAGGGCAACAGCACCTGACCCCACCCTGCACCTGGACCCTGGCCTGGTGGCACTCCGCTCCTCCCCGGCAACCTGGAGCCACCTGCCAGCCTCGCTGGACAGGGCTGGCTGCAGCCTCAGACCCCAGGGCAGCCCACTGACCCCCTCTCTCTAGCTTTGTGGGTCCTTGGGCTCAGGACAAGCCCTGGGGGAGGTGCCCTCCTTCCTGCCCCAAACCCGGTCTCGGGTCTCCCTGCCCCCTTGACGCTGCTGATTCAGGCTGTGGCCTCCGAGTATTTATGCAGTGCAGTCTGCCTGACGCCAGCCCCTCCTCCTAGGGTCAGGCCCTGGGGCTGGGCTGTAGAGGAATTGCTGGAGAAGTGGGGAGCTGAGAGAGGAGGGTGGGGCAGCTCCCAGTTTCTCCCTTCTGGACCCCTGATGAAGCCCCCTGCCTTTAATAAACTGGCTGAGTGCGGATTATTGATTCTGAGATTTGAAAGCTAGGCGTGGGGGCAGGGAGGGCTGGCGGTGAGGATGGAGGCTCCCTCGTCTGGGCTGGGGCCTGGATTTCCTTTGCCTGGGGACCAAGTCAGGCGTATGCCCAGCCCCGCCCCAGCTCCCAGCTTGGTCACACATCCACACAGAGAATTCTTTATGCCTCTTTATTCCCAATTTCGTCAGCACTTTATAAAACCAGACGGGAGAGGGAGAGGCCTGAGAAGGCTCCCCTCCCCACCCCCAAGCTCAGCCAAGGTCTGAAAGGTCAGCCTGCTCCCAGTGGAGGGGATTCTGGGGGTAGGGGCGGGGGCAGGGGGAACTGGGAGCTGGGCCAGGCCTGCTGGGCCACCCACTCCCCCTGCCAAAAGGGGAGCTGGGCCTGGAAGGGGCAGGAAGTAGGCCAAGCCCAGCACTCCGGAGTCCTGGGGGCTTGCCCTCTCCTGCAGACATTCTAGGGCTGGGATCCTGGCTGTCCCTGAATCACCCTCCCCCATAGCCCCACCCACCTTCTACATCTGTACGCCCACCCCCACCCTGTCCTCCCTAAATATATACAAATGTACAGCGGGTTCCACCCCTGCTGGGTGGGCCCCTTCCTCCACCTCCCTCTCTCCTTTCCTCCCCTCCCCTCCACGGGGACCCATGGTCTGGTCTCCAGCCCTCCCTGGGCACCAGCCCAGGGATGGGGGGTGTGGACAAGAAGGACCCTTGTGCAAGGCAGCTGGCCCCAGGGTCGGTGAGAGCAGGAGCTGAGTCCTCCCTCCCAGTGAGCACCGCCCTCCCCCTCAGCCCTGGGCTGCCCCAGGCGGGTCCCAGGAGCAAGAGGAGTCTATGTTGGGGATCCAGGAGTGGGGGCAGTCCCAGACTTCTGGGTCCTTTCAGACACAGCACCATCCTAGCAAGCGAAGTCTTCAAAGAGGCCTCCTGGGGGGCCGTGCGGGTGGTGGTGGTTGGGGAGCAGGCTGCTGGCTCCCCCACCCTCAGCGCGGCCCTGGCTCGGGCAGGGACTCTGCAGGGCAAAGAGGGATGGGACAGGGAGAGTTCCAGCGGTGCCCTCAAGGCTCACACAGCCAGCCTTTCCTTGTCCCCCCAGGGAGAGGCTCCAGGGGAGCCCAGGAACCTCTCCCAGAGGCTCGTTCAGAAATCCTGGGGGGCATTCAGCCCTGGGAGGAGTCGTCAGCGGCACACTCTACAGGGCTCGTCCTTACCTGCTCCTTCAGCTCCTGCAGCCCCAAGGTGGAGATGCCCCCAGTGGAGGTCCGCAGGGGGGTCTTGGGACGACGCCACACTCGCTTCAGTCGGTCCCAGGACACCTTGGGGTTCAAGGGGGCATGGCAGTGGGCTCAGAAAGCTTGATAGAGGAGCAGGGCAGTCCTCACCACCATATAGGACTTGCTGCCGGAGCAAACCCCTGCTAGGACTCCCCACCCTCCTCACCCACCCCCTTCTCCTGACTCAGTCCCCTCAGGCCTTCCAGTCGGTCAGGAGACCTCGGCAAAGAACCCTGAGCCTGACTTGCCCACCAGACCAGCCCCACCGGGAAGGTGGCACAGCCCTCTGCTTTTCCCACAGCCCCTTCTCCCCGCTGCCATTCCCCTCTGGGTGGCCCCCACAGGCCCCCACCCCTTGCCTCATAGATGTAGTCAAGGATCTCCAGCAGTGTGAGGATGCTGGCCCCGATGAACAGGCCCATTTGTCCCCCGAGGTCTCCTGGGGAGCACGAGAGCAGGGTCAGAGGGAGCCGGCTGAGCTGATCCACCTCCTGGACTCGGGGCCAGGGCTGGGTCTCACCCAGAAGGGCTGACAGGCCATAGGCTGCTCGCTGCTCCATGGCCTCAGAGGTCAGGGCTTCAAAAAAGACATCTAGGACCAGGAAGTTCTCCCTGCGGAGACAGGAAGCAGGGTGTCCACATGGGGCCATGTTCCTGAGGAGGTGGCTGGCAGGGACATCCCAGGCCCAGCAGATCCTGATCTGACACCCCTGTGCTAGGAAGCTGGTGACTACTGTCAGGCTCCCAAAGGCTGTCAAGGGAGGTAGTTCCAGATACATGCCGGCCTCACACTTTGAGGGGTAGCAAAGGGCCCAGGAGAGCAAATAAAACTCCTGGGCCTACAGGATTCCCTCCTGCCGCCTTCTCTAAAGCAGCAAGTAGTGTTCACTTTCCTTCATCCCTATACCTCTCCAGAACCTTCAGTGGCTCCCTATTGCCCAATGGTCTACTCTAAAATTCCTCTTCCAGACTTTCAAGACTGCCCATGATCTGTCGCACTGTGTCTTTTTATTCAAACGGCTTTCTTATCTGCTTCTCTCCAGACAGCCTCCCTATAGCTCAGGCTGGCCTCTGCATCATCCCGCGTTCTCTAAGTGGGATGCCTCCCCTGTCTCCCCCTCTCCCAGACCCAAACCTGGGGTCCTCAGAGGCCCAGCTCACGCCTCCCCTGCTTTCCCTATCCCACCCCCATTAATCTCTCCTGGGGCCTGAGAATCAGTACCACACCATCAAACACGAACTCATCCGTAAATTGTGGCATGAGTTTTGTGTCGCAATCATCTCTGTCCCCACAGGACCCAGCACTAGGCCTGGCCCCCAGAGGATGCTCAGCATTTGTAGATTGGCTGCAGGGTACCAGACCCAAGGCTCAGGGCGGCCCCTCCTGCAGGCCGCTTTGTTTCTCTCACATCCCTTTCAGTTCTTCTCCCTTAGCACACACTCACTCAATGTGCATTTCACGGCTCCCAATTTGCTGGGGGCGAAAGACACATAAATAGAGGTTCTAAAACAATAACAGTCAGTGCAATGACAGATATGTGCAAGGTGCTGTGGGAGCGCAGACAAAAGGCGCTTGGACCAAGAAGGGCTCCCTGGAGGTGGAGACACAAGGATGTGACTTAGAGGATGGGTAGCAGTTAGAAGAAAAGGATCCTGAAAGGCATTCCTCGCAGAAGACTCTTCATTAACAGAGATGCAGCCCACTCCCAGTCTCCACCATGCACCAGGCCCGTTGAGGGTGGCCTCCACTGCACACACACACGCACACACGCACACACATGCACATACCGTATGTAGGTCTCGTTGCGGTTGTACTTCCTTGCCAGGTAGCGAGCTGAGCCCCTGTTGGGGATCCTGACCATGGAGATTTCTTTCCCGTAGCGGGTCAGGTTACAGGGGGTAGGGCAGAAACATGGGCCCTCGGAGCCCCCACCCAGGGAGTCTGCAACACAGAAGCATCAACTGCAGAGGGGGTGGGGTGGCTCAGAGGCCCACTGGCTGCACGGAGGAAGCATAGGGCCTGTCCTGCTATCCCTCTGCCTCCAAGCCCCCTGGGGCAGGGAGGTCCTCGTGGCTCAGAAGGAGGGCACAGCCCATCCACCAGAGCTAATCAACCACATGAGTGAGGCCTCAGACAGATAAGGGGCTTGCAAAGGATGCTGGGATGAATGGATGGATGGATAGATGGGTGAATGGATGGATGGATGGAGAGATGGATGAATGCATGGAGAGATGGATGGATGGAGAGATGAATGGATGGATAGATGGAGCAAAACAGACAGAAAGAACAAATGGATAGATGGGATTCGTGTGCTCAACATGCTGCATTTCCTCTGTTCGCCCCTTCAGAGCCACTCTCCACTCTCCTCCACCTTGCTTTGTGCCCAGGAGGCTGATCTCTGCCAAAGGTGTCACCTAGACTCCCTAGTCGTCTGACTTTGGTTGGATGCGACTAATGTGAGGCCCTGGCAGGGTCAGAGGGCAAAGAGGAGAGGAATGCCAGGGCATTTCCTCCCCCGGCTTCCTCACCGCAGGCTGTGGGTTGGCAGGGGCTGCATTCCTCCTTTCATGCCCACAACTCCTGTCCATGAGCCTCTTGGACAGCCCCAGATCAATCACTGGGCTCCAGAGGGACTCCCTTCCTTTCTGTCTTCAGGCCTGGGGGAGTAAAGGCTCCCTGAAGTTGTTAGTTCTGTGGAGTCTCGCCAGCCCTTGTGGTTCCCTCATCCCTGCTCACACATCTGGTCCTTCATGAAACCCCTTCAATCGCCCCTCTGGCTGATGCAGTTGGTGTGGGACAGAGAAGTTCTCGAGGTGATTCTACTGTCCAGAACCTCAACCCATCACCTCTCTCCCAACCCCTGCTCTGTCATCTGGATTCCTGCCATGCTCTCCTGACCAGTCACCCTGCCTCTAGCCTCACTCCCTGCCTGTCCATTCTCCACATCTGACCAGAGTCGCCTTCCTAAAATCAGCTGGCATTCTTGCCCTGCCTTAAGCCATTGTTGGCTTCCCAGAGCCTCCTCCACCCTTTCCACCCCCTCCCCTGTTCTCTGCCCTCCAGCCACCCTGACCTTTCAGTGCCTGGAACACATATTCTCTCTGGCCACAAGGTGTCCAGCACGTGCTGTTCCCACGGCCTTTTCACCTGGCTGACTCTTCCTGACCCTCAAGCCTTAGCTAATATGTCACTTCCTCCAGGAGTCCTCCCTGCCTTCCCAAGTGGGGCTGCATGCCCCTCCCTGGGGCCTTGTTGGACCGCTGAGGTTCCTCTCCCCAAGAGCTAACACGCTGCAATGTACTGCCCGTCCGCAGCCCTGCCAGGCAGCGGGTTTTGCAAGAGCAGTGCTTTCGATCCCACTCTCACTTCCAGCATGAGCACGAGCTGTAAACATCTGTAGAATGAACGAATGAATGAATGACTGAATGGAGTGCAGATCAGGCGAGACCTTGGACAGACGGGGTTTGCCTTACCCATACTGATAGGTAGCCATGCATCTCTCCTCAGACCAAGAGAGAAGTCATTCCACTCTCCCAGAGAGGCAAGCTCATTTGCTGAACCACGAGAAGCCCAGCCCTTCCCTCTCAGTCCTGGGCTCTCTGCAACCCCAACCCTGCTGCCTCCACTTACCCAAGTGTCCTCAGACCCCCAGAGGTATGGGATAAGTCTCACCCTCCAGGAAGAACCCCTCAGGGTGAGCCTGGGAGGAGGGGAGCCAAGGCAGTGAGGAGAAGGGGACAGAGATGGAGAGGAGGGCGATGGAGAGGCGGGGAAGGGAGAGGGCAGCACGGACCCAGTGTGTGGTCAGCACACTCGATGTAGATATTTGGCGGGCAGATGGTCTCATTGCCTGAAAGGAGAGAATATTATTCCTGGAGACTACAGTTCCATCCCCTTTCCCTGACCACGTTCCCAAAGGTGGGCACACACACACGCCCACATGAACTTATACATGCTCATGCATATAAGCATGAAAATATACACATGCATATATGCATGCAAACATATGCACACATACATGCACACACATTTGTATGCACGTGTTCAAGCACAGGCACACAACCCCCACAAGGACAGATGTACACAAGCACACATATGCATAAATACATATTAACGTGCACACAAACATGCACATGTGCATTCCTGCATGCACATGTGAAAACATGCCTAAAGTCCAAAACGCATCACATCCGCACTCACAGGGGCACAGACATGCACGCCTTTGTTGTACACATGCACGTGCCCACACACACGAGTGGCGCTCTGCCCCTGGAGGTTCTGGCACCGCAAGGTGGCACGGAGCGGGGCGGGGGGCCCACCTGGCATGTGCACCATCCGGCAGTGGCAGCGCTGAAGCACGGCCTCCTTTTCGCAGCGCAGCCGGCAGGCAGACACACTGTAGGCCGAGTAGCCCTGCAGCTCAGGCTCCCCGAGCCCGCTCTCCGCCCGGCAGTTGCCCCAGGGCTGAGGCAGATAGGTCAACTGCAGAGGCGGGCACGATGGGGTCATGCCCAGGAGTCCCACCCGGCCCTCCAGCACCCACAGCCCCAGCAAAGCCCAAGGGTGGGCTGGCGGGCTGTGAGCTGCTGAAGGGCAGGTGTGGTCAGCAGCCCCTCTGAGCCCAAAGGCCTGGCCTCACGCCCAACCCGGGGTCCAGCTGGAGCTGCTCACCCGCTGTTCCTGGCAGGACACGAAGGTCTGGAAGCCTGGGGACACGCCGAAGCCCAGCTGGTGGATGTAGGGCGGCTCCTCCTGGCTGTGGATCTGCACCCGGATGCCGGCCTCAAACGACGTCTCATCTGCACAGCGGAGATGGGGACCTTTGGAAACCCACCCCAGGCACAGGGCCCAGGCTGGAGCCCCAGGTTGGCCCTGTCCCTTTCCTGCCTGCATACTTGTCTCTCTCCAGATGGGCAGGTACTCTTCCTGCTGGATGTCCAGCATGATCTCCAGGCCGCTGCCCATGCCCCCCGCCCGGCTGGGAAGGGAGCTGTGCGGATCCGCATTGAAAGTGTAACACTTCCCATAGCGAGTATAGACCTGAGGGTGAGAGAGGAGAGGGAGAGAAGGAAGGAGGGGCTGAGACAGCTCCTTCGGCTTAAGGTTCCCTGTCCCCCCAGGGGCCACCAGACCTGCCTGGACACCCCAGCCCCATATCCCAGCAATCAGTCGGCTGCCCAGCCTCTCCCCTCAGTGCCATCTTTCCTCCCGACATCCTCCCCTAGATGATTAAAAGGCATCTCCAGCTTAACATAGCGGAACTCTTGACAGCTTCCCAAATCCTGGCCCCCTCCACTCTCCTCCTCTGAGTAGAGGGCCCCACTCTACGCCGAGTTCCACACGTCAGAACCCCTGAACTCTCCCTCCCCCCTCACCCCTACATTCCATCCAGCAGCGTCCCAGGCAATCTTACTTCAAACCTGCTTAGAATCCACCCACTTTCCTTCCACCTTGGGTCCCCCGTCACCATCATTCCTGCCTGGCCATGGCAGTGGGCTCCTAACTGGTCCCCCTTTGTCTATCCTCGCCTCTCCTCTCATCAGTGACACAGTAGCCAGAGTCCCCCCTCTAGAGTGCATAGATCTAATTACATCACTTGCCAGCTTCAAGCCCAACAGTGGCTTCCCATTTTTCAGAGAATAAAGCCAAACTCCTAGCCTGAAAGTCTTTGTGTGATGCGACCCTTGCCCGCCTCTCCTGCCACTTCACCCCCAGGTCTCCATGACAGATTTAAACTTACGGAGCGCCTTCCTTCCTCAGGCCCGCGTCCATGCCGTCCCTCTCCTGGAATGCACCCCCCCCCACCCCACCCCCCCGCACAGCTAGCCTCAGCTTGTGTCCCTTCTTCAGATGCACACCCGTATACCACACACATCAGTGTCACCCTCCACCCCATCACGTGTTTGCCGGTTTGCTCGAAGTACTTATCAAGACCCGAGATGATCTTGTTTATCTGTTTGTCTCCTTGTTCACTGTCCACGTTCCCCCCATGAGATTTTATGCTGCACAGGAGCAGTGGGCCTGTCTGGGGTCCCGGGCGCCTGGCACGCTTTCCGAAGCTGTTGCCGCCGCGCTGAACCAAGCCTGTCTCCCTTTTCCGCTGCGGAGAGTTCTCCGGCATGGACACCAGGTGGCGCTGGCGCCCCGGAGATGGAAGCTGAGGCTCCGGCTGGGGCGCAGCTGGGATCCGGAGTGGCGCAGCGGCTGGGGTGGGGAGGAGGTTGAGAGAGGGGATGCAAGCTCCCCCTCTGCCGGGCTCACCCCGCGGAGACCAGCCCCCGGGTCAAACCCATCACAGTCAGACCCTTCCCTGGGGGCAAGGGGTCGGCGCACTCAATCTCTCTCGCTCGCCCTCCCTTCCCTTTCCTTGGGAACATTTCCATGCTGGTAAACGCTGGGAGAAAAGGCAAAAAGGCACCGTGGAAGGGAAAAGAGACCCTAAATGCCTAGCTCCAGAGGGAGGGTGTGGACGGGAGAGGGGCTGGGCCCAGGGCAATGGGAGTGAGGAGTTCTAAGCACTGGGGGCCGGGGGACCCTTGTCGTGGGGCAAGGGTAGGTCTCCCGCCCCCACAAGGCCGATCGCCTTGCTGATCCTCCCCTCTCATACAGCTCTTCTATCACCCAACACCCTGCCTCAGGAAAAAAGCAAAAATAGGCGCACACCAAGCGCGGTGCAGTTTACAAAACATGACAACATCTACGATGTCCCACTTCAGCCGCTCAGCAACTCTGCTATCAGGTACGCTTAATTCGCTGGATTATTACAGATGAGGAAAACTGCAGCTCAGAGAGGGGATGTGACTTGCCCAAGGTCACACAGCTAGTGAGGCAGAGAGGTGGAACTCATCAAGATGCAAGACTGAAACTGTTCCCACCACCTGTTGCTGGCAGCTGCCCAACCCCCACCCTGGCCTACCCTAACTCCAGCTCATTCCAGCTGGAAGGAGACGGAAGGGTGACTCATTATTCGTCCCCTTTTCTCCTATCCCCCCTTCCCTTCCACTCTACTCCTCTCCCCCTTCCTCAGCCTTTGTTCTCCATGTCTGCTGCCTCTCAGTTCCTCACCTGTCCCTTCCCTCCTCCTGCACCCTCTCTAGCTGGGTTCTGGTCCTTGACCCCATCTGCATCACCCCCCCCCCCCCCAATTTGTCCATCTCTGGGGCAGGAGCAAGTATGGCTGAAGGTTCTGCCCCCGGCACTGAGCTACATTCTACAGATGGGGAAACTGAGGCTTGGACAGGTGGGCTGATTTGCCAAGGTCTCCAAGATCACTGCCTCTCAAACTGTCATGTGCGCACAAAGCACTTGGGCATCTTGTAAAAATGCAGATTCCAATTCAGGAAAACGCTTGTTGGGGGGGCAGGACCAAGATTGTGCATTTCTAACAACCTGCTGGTCCACGGACCACTTTTTGAGTAGAAAGGCCCTCGATCGATGCGGGGGCAAGAGTCCAGCAAGGCAGCCCCACTCTAGACCTGTGCTCTTACAGCCTGTCACTGGGTAGGGGGGAAGCCTGCAAGGGGCCGTGTGCAAGAGTCCTGGGTCCCGGCCATGTGGGAAAGGCAGATGGGGGAATACATAAGTCTTTGCCCCAAATCCCAAAGCACCCACTCTCTTCCTATTTCGGGCCAAGAAGATGCTGGAATCGGCTCTTGCTGACGCAGCCGGTTTTGAGTGTGTGTTCCAGTTGAGAGACTGAGTGAGGAAAGGGGTACATGGGAGGCCCTGGTAGTGAGTGGCTCGCTCGTGCCCCCCAGTGTGTGGCATCACCTCGGCTGACCCTGGCCGCCTGGCACCGTCACGGTCTCTCCACAGCTCAGCCTCACCCAGGGGATCGTGGACTCCCTAAGGCTGAGAGCCCATTTTACCATCTTGGCATCCCCCAGAGCCCAGCACAATTTGCAGAAGGAGGTGTGAGGTGGACAGAAGGCTGCAAGGTGAACACGATCAACCATCCCTACTTTGTACCAAGTCCTGTGCTAGACAGTTTTGATCTATTTTCACCTTTGAGCCTCCAAGAAAAGCACATGAGATAAGTATTGTTGCCCCCATTTAACAATGAGGAAGCTCAGAGAGGGAAAGCGACTTGGCTAAGGACACACAGCACATAAATGACAGCAGAGATTCAAACAGCTCTGAGCCCGATGCCAAAGCAGAGTTGGTGCTTATAAAACACCTGGTGGGTATTCAGTGGATAAATGACTCTGGTAGGCTCCTGACCCTGGGTGGGGCTGGGGCAGCCTACCCACCTGACACGTCCAAAGTTTACACACAGACGCATGCTGCATGGCATTGAGCCCAGCCCTGTGCAGGGCAGAGCCAACAGAGAAGGTTGTGGCTCCAATGGCTTCGGAGGGGGTGCTTACATGGCACCCTGCCCTTGAGGTGGTTATGCAGAGTGGGAATGACACAGGGAGATGGGTGGAGGTATACTGGGTCTGATGGATATGTTCCGCAGGGGATGGTCAGGTGACACTGGCAGGGCCAGGCCACCTGCATGGCCTGGGTCAGACCCCACTGCTGGGCAGCGCAGAGCGTTGCCCCGGAGACGGTCCCAGGGCCAGGCAGGCAGTGGCGGGTGGAGCCACCAGCTCCTAAGTGGCAGAACTCTAGTGGCAGCACAGCCCACAGCCTCTTCCATGGAGACGGCACGGCCGCTCAGCCGCAAGGTCCCCCTGGCTGTCCACTGCTCTCTCCCCACGGACTGGCCTGGAAGGAGGGTGTGCGTACAGGAGTTGAGAGCCCAGGGCCCAGCCATGGAGAACGGCAGGTCCTGGGCCAGGATGTGCCCTGATGGGCTGAGGGTCTATCTCCTGATCATCTTCCACAGGCGCTGAGCGTCTGGACCCTGTCCACATCTCAGCCCCCACTTCCTCCTTCGATCTGACCCTCCCTCTTTGCTCTCTGCCTTAGCTTCCAGGCCCACTCTCCTGGCCCCAGGCTGAGGACATGGCCTCCCAGATCCCTTCGGACCTTGGCTGAATGCAGACCCTTAGACCCTTCCTTCTGGCTGGCCCTCTGCCTGTCCCTCTCGGACCACCTCTCCTTTAGGGTTGGCCTGGAGCCCACCCTGGGTCTGTCTAGCCTCTGTCCCCTGATCTCAGTCTGCCCTCAAGTCCCTCTCTATCCTCCTGGCCTGTCCGTCCTCAGCATCTGATCCCTTGTCCTCCGTTGGCCTGTCCATCCCGCTGGCCTCTGTCTTTCTCTCTTCTTGGCCTGGCTGCCCCCCCGGCTCTCTGTTCCTCTGCCCTCTGCATCTCTATTCTGTTGGCTTTCCTCTCTGTCCATCCCTTAGTCTAGCGGGCTAGTCTCTCTTGTCTTCCTCCTAGATTTTCCCTGGGTCAGAGGCCCCCTTGACCCAGGGCCCCCTCCCCAGGTGTCCTCCCCTCCTCCTCCCACCCCCTCCTCCCGCTCTGCCCCAGTCAGTGAGAGAGATCTGGACAGAGCTCGCTCCTGTCAGTCCCTTGAGTTCCATCTGTCCACAGCTCCCATTTCCCCCGGAAAGCTCTCCTTGGCTGGCTTGCTTGCATTCTCCCTCCCACCCCCCACCCCCGCCCCCTCATCCTCCCTGCAGTCACGGAGCCCACGGGGTTAACAGGCAATTAGCAGGGCCAGGACTCAGAGCGGCGGGGAGAGGGCCGGGGCCTCCAGGAGATAAGCAGCAGCCAGAGCAGCGGAGGCTGGGCTAATCCCGGGCTAATCTGCAGGCCAGGCTTTATCTCCGCCGCCTTCTGGGCACCTGCCTCTGCCAAGGCCCTGGCACCCCCACCTCACTTGTCCATGGTGCTTCATCCCCCCAAATTCCATCAGCTCTCCCCTGCTGCAGTCCAGCCCCAGGCCTCTCATTTAGCCCCTGGAATGAACTCCCCTTAACCCTGCAGTGTCCCAGGGTCCAGAGTGGAAGGGGGTGCGTCTTCAGCCGCCCTGGACCGTGACTAGCACCCCGGGGTCGGACAGCACCTGGGCCACGGCTTTACTCAGGGGTGGCCCAAGCATCAGGCTCAAAGCCTTGTCCTTCTCTACTCTCACCAGGGGCAGAG